GAGGTCCCTGCCCAGCCACAGGAGGACCTACGGCTGACCAACAGCTCCAGCTCTTCAGGGTATCGGGCTGTGCGCTTGTAGAGCCCATGGGTAACAGGTCCACCAGTCACTGACCCTTCTGGGCATCCAATACCTCCAAGCTGCACCTTGGAATAGATGTAATAGTAGCCAGGTCGGGTGCACACCAGGGACCCTGCTCGGTAGTCCAGGTCTCGAAGGAAAGCTAGGCCCAGGTGGGCCTCCCAGAGCAGTGGTCCACCCCTCACTGCCAGACTTGAGTTGGCCCCTGGAGAGAGAAGAGAGAAAGAAAAGGAGAGAGGGAGAGAGAGAGAGGGGGAGAGAGAGAGAGAGAGAGAGAGAGAGAGAGAGAGAGAGAGAGAGAGAGAGAGAGAGAGAGATGATGATGAACATACATAGAGTGTAAGTGTATGCGTAGTGGGGGAAGGAGGGAGATGTTATATTTCCCTGGCAAGTAGGGCAGGTTACCTAGGCCTCTTAGGTAGGAGGATTCAATATCCCTTAGTGGAAAGAGGCTGTGATTTGCAGTCTGAAGATTCAGAAGAGCTGAGTTCCAGCCCCTCTCTCTGCCTCTGCCTGGATTTGGAGTCAGAGACCTCAAGTAAATCATTCCACAGATCTGGGTCTTACTGTAAAATGAGGGATTTGGACCAGAGTCATTGGCAATACCGAGATTCTACGATATTAGGGAAGGGGAAGAAATCTAGAAAAATAGAAAGTACCAAGAAGGAATAAGGGATTGTGGGACGTTTGGGGGAAGTTTGGAGGTTGGGTGGTTGGTTTTCGGCTAGACATCTGATTTCATCAGTGTAGGAAATTCCTGGTGTGGAAATTATCTGTAATTGATATAATCTGGAATTTGTTGGGTACCCAGCAGTTAAGTGACTTACTGATGGTCACACAGCTAGCATACCTTAGAGGTAGGTCTTGAACCCTGACTTTTCTGACAATAAGGCTGACCCCTTGTTATTGGCCCTGCTATTAATGACACATTTCATCTCAAAGGGTTATCTATAGGATCACAAAATCCCAAGGTAGAAAAGACTTTAGAGGTCAACTAATCCAACTCTCTATTTTACAGTTGAGGAAACTGGGGCCTAGAGGAAGGGAAATGACTTGTCCAAGGTCTCTGACTCCAGATCCAGTTTTTCTTTCCCCCTACACTGTCCTGCTTATGGGCCTGCCTAGGGGATGTATCCATTCATGTGCTTTGTTGGGATTGCTCCATCTCCCTATCTCTTTCCTATGGTCCTTGGAATTTCTGGAGCAAGTATGTGAGCCTAGGAACCTCTGGGGGCTCCTACTTAGTCCCACACCCAGTGTAGGCCAGCTATGACCACTTCCCCACCCTTTCTGCCCTTTCTGCCCCCAGCTCCTTACCTGTGAGGTGAGCTGCTGGCTTGTCCTGACAGGATCTCTGCTCTAGGAAGAAATAAAGGTCAAAAGTTAAAGGGGCTGCCTCTGGGCCTGCTCCTCTGTCGCTCAGGCCTTCCTTAGAGAGCTGTGGGATATTTCTCCTAATCCCTTCCCTTCTGGGGTCACAACCAACTCCAGATCCTGAGGTCAGCGGATCATAGGATCCTACCTTTAGAACTGGACAAGATCTCAAAGTCCACGTTTTACAGATGAGGGAAACTGAGACCCGAGGAGGTGAGACTGACTTGCCCATGACCACACAGGTGGTAAGAGCAGAGATTTGAACCCAGGTCATTGGACCCTAAATTCAACTCCTGGACCTCAGCTCTGAGTAGGAATGAGGTATATTATCTGTTTACTCCCCTCCCCACCCTCCCCACACCTCCAACCCCAACACACACTCATAACCCTGGGTTATGCAAGCTTCATTGGGCAACAGTGTTCCTAGGCTTGGAGGGGGGAGGAAGGAGGAGCACAGATGCAGAAGGGAAGCTGGAAGCGGGGGTGGGGGAGGGAGAAAAGAGACAGAAGTCAAGTTGGGAGGGGGGAGGATAGGGGCGGGAAGACTGCAGCCTGAGAACCAGCCTGGGGCATGACGAAAGACAGGCTGACACTTGGATGAAGAGCCTGGGTGACCCCTCCCCCTGGGCAGCGCTGGCCCTTCTATCCCTGTCCCTTCCTTTAAACTTACCCTGAACCAGCTTCTCCAAGGAGCCCTCCTCTCTCTGAAAAATAGAAATGCAGTGTGACTATGGAAATCACCAGGCAAGTGGCAGCAGGCATGCGAGGGCACGCACACACACGCACACTCACACGCACACACACACACTCACACGCACACACACTCACATACACACGCACAGGGGCATGTATATAGAGACATATGCGTGCCTTGTGTCCACACAGAGACACATACATGTTCACATAAACACACATTGGCTCACACAAATATACACACCGGCACACAAACTGAGATTGCTCACTCACCGGTAGCCGAAGGCTGAGGGCCACCAGGTCCCAGTGGAAGCTCCATAGGAAATAGCCTTCAATAGCTACACCAGCCAATGCCAGCAGCAGTAGGAGCCCCAGGCCCAGCTGCACTCTCTGGCATGTCCGTTGCCTGCTCCCTCTCCGCTGGGGGAAGGGCACATCTCTCTGTCCATCCACAATGAATACTGACGGTTGAATCACCCGATCTCCCATGGCTCTTCTGCCCCTCTGGAACCACAGCTACTGAGTAAGTCTCCAGTTTTGTTACCCAGACTTAATGCCCAGGAAGCTGCCTGGGCTCAATTCTTAGGAAACTTATTTGGCCTCCAGCTCAGGAAAGGGCCAGCTCTTGTGGCCAGCTCCAGTGCCCAAGTAGGTAAGGGCCTGCGAAGTACCTGCTGTGCGTCTCAGAGGAAGCCTCTGATGGTTATGGTGTGGGTATCCTGTTGGCTGTCTGATGAATGCACTGGCACGACCCTGGGGCTATAGATTTTCAAGAGGAAACCAGCTGCTTACCACATGTGCTCCGGCTAGGCCTCCCTGACAGGTGGGCAGGCAAACCGTGGCTGCTCTGGTCCCAGCCTTCACCCCAAGAGCCTCTTGAAGCCACTCTGCCCCGCCCCATTCCCCCCCGGCCGCCCCCTTCCTGCCCCAGTGGCTGGTGGGCGGGTAAGGCTGATATACTCACACTTTCTGATTTTCCAAGACCATATGGAACCTGGGTGACCCCCTCTGGGAAAGCTATTAAAGCATGTGTGCCCTGGGGGCCCAAGGGACCCCCACAAAGGGGGCCCAAAGGAAGCCAGGTAGTGGGGCTCCTCAAGCAGTAATTCTGAGGAGGAAGCGGACTAACAAAGATAGTCTAAATGGGAAATGGAATCAGGGCATAGGACTTTAGAGATGAAAGGGACCCAAGAGTCCTCAGGCAGCAATGCCTGGAGTCAGGGAGACCTGGGCTTATTCCTGCCTCAGATACTTATTAGCTGTGTGACCTTGGGTAAATTATCGTCCCCCAAGGGCCTTAGTTTCTTCATCTGTTAAATAAGTTGTATTAAATGATCTCTAAGATCTTCTAACCTTAAGTCTATGATCCTACGACCATCCCCCGCCCCCTCCATACCCAGGATCTTTAGAGACCAGGATAAGAGGGATCTGAGTTGGATGGAGGATTGAGAAGTAGTGATAGAATATAGGCTTCATTACCAATTCCCATGGGTCAGACATGGGCCTTTTCACGTATGGTGTTTATGTTGTTGCCTTTTTTTTTTTTTTTTGGCAATCGGGATTAAGTGACTTGCCCAGGGTCACACTGCTGGTAAATGTCAGGCGTTTGGTCTGAGGTTGAATTTGAACTCAGGTCTTCCTGACTTCAGGGCTGGCACTCTATCCACTGCGCCACCTAGCTGCCCCTTGTGGTGTATGTGTATATGAGTATTTGTGAATGTGGCAGGTGTGGGGCAGGGGAAGAGCGGATGCACACATGAAAGAGTCAGGTGGGAAATGAGGGTTGAATACATAGGCTTTACCGATGACCGCCAAGTATGCATTTCCCATCTTGGTTTGGAAGCAATGTACGGGGGAAGTAGGACAGCTAGGGAATGCTGTGGATGGAGCACCAGGCCTGGAGTCAGGAAGACTCATCTTCCTGCGTTTAAAATCTGGCCTCAGACACTTCCTTAGCTGCGTGACCCTGGGCAAGTCACTCAACCCTGTTTGTCTCAGTTTCCTCTTCTGTAAAATGAGCTGGAGAAGAAAATGGCAGACCACTCCAGTATCCCAAAATGGGGTCTTGAACAGTTAGACATGACTGAAAAATAACTGAGCGATAACATGAAGGGAGATCTAAGGGTCCAATGCCTAGAGCTCTGAAGGCCTTAGGGTTGGGGTTGTGTGTTATGGGGGTTATTGTCCCTCTTAAGTCTGCCAGGGACTTTAGAATGTCTGTGTTCAGCCCCATACTCCTTCCACCCCTGGCCCAAGGCCAGAGTTGAACCCCCAAATCACAAAACCCCCAAACCAAAGGTGTTTCCTGGACTATCTGGCTGGGGCCCTGGATTCCGGAGGGGTCCAACTGCCCTATCTCCCACCAGTCCACACCCCATCCCTCCTCAGAGGGTCTTCTTTGCGATATGTGTCTTTTCAGGAAACATTTATTAATCACCTGCTGCACTGAGGGCCTGGCAATTGCTGCTGAGGAAGTCTGAAGGTCTTGCTAGGGAGAAGGGGTGGGTGGGTGCTGAGTTATTCTACTCTGAGTAGTCATCCTCTTGTTTCTATGCTTCCTCTTCCCCTGCCTGCATCATCTCCAGGCCAGCCCTCCCTACCTCCTTTGAGTCAGATACCCAGCCAGGAAAAGTGGGGGATGAGGGATGAGAAAAGGGTTCACATTCTCACTGTACCCTTTGTAACCCGTTACTTGAACAAGCCCTTTCTCCCTCTCAAGGCCTCAGTTTTCCAATCTGTAAAATGGGACCAGTTATTCTCTTAGGGACCTTCTAGTTCTGACACGACAATTCTCCAGGACCAGAATAGAAGGATGAGGCCTAGTCCCCAAACCAAACCAACACATCGAGATGTAAATGAGTATTTGGCCTTTTTAATAATGATAATCCCAACACCCCACATTGCAACAGCACTTTGGGATTCTCTGATTATTATTCACCATTCAAACAGAGATTATTACCCTCATTTCTATAGATCAGGGAGCTGAAGATGAGAGTGGGGAAGAAGGGACATGCCCAAGGCCACACTTGGGATTTGAATCTGACTACCTCCCTGCCTCCACCTCCGAGGCTATCTCCACACATGGCCTCTCCTCCACCCCTACCCCCTAGGATCCCCAAGGATCTCCAAGCACCACACTAGGTGAGTCCATTAAATTCTTGAAAAAGAGTCTTTGTTCAGAAATAAGGTGGGACCTGGCCGAGGCCGGGGATGGGTCATCATTTGGGTCCATGGATGGTGTTAGTTGGGGCAGCCGAAGGAGATCATGCTGTCCGCAAAGACCTCCAAATCCTCACACTGTTTCTGGTTCTCTGCATCCTGGCACTCATCTTCTGGTGGCCAGTGCTCCACCCAAGTGTCCTTGCCAATGATGTAATTAAGCCTGGGGGCACGGAGAGATACGCTTAGGGGGAGAGGGGCATCCCTAGCTCCGGGACCAGGGAGGGGATGGAGTAATGGAGGGGAGCGGGGAAGAGGAAAATAAGGTTGCCCTAAACCAGGAAGGGGGATGGATGGAATGACCAGGGTTCTAGAGGCGGATAGATAGGATGATATGAAATCTGGTGAACCAGATGGAACAGGGAGTGATGAACAGAATAACCAGGAAGATGGAGAGAAGAGCTTGGGCTGGGGGAAATGGATGGACCCGGGTTCTTACTCTGAGTTCATTTTCCATAGGTCAGAGGAGATGCCCCAGATCAGGTAATCCTTGCCCTCCTTTAGCAGTAGGGCATCCCGGCACTTCACATGGCTGATGAATGTGCGAATCTTGTCTTGAGGATTCTCATCTGAGCCTGGGGGGCAGGGTGAGGAACACAACGTGAGGAATGAGAGGTTATAGCCTTGGGAGGGGGGAGTCACAGGAAAAGGTGCGAGGGTCTGAGCATGGGGCATGGATGGGGCCACTCACCAGATTTAATGACCTGTTTGATGAGCATCTGGTATTCATCAAAGCTGTCGGACTGCTTGATCTTGTTCACCTTGACCTTATATACTGAGGACAGAGACCAGAGGGGTCAAGGTGAGGCAGAAGCACAGACACACACAGATAGGTGCTCCACGTACACATACGTGGGTACAGAGAGACATGCACAATCAGACACAGTGACCCAGAAGGACACAGGAATTCATAGGATCAACCACCTAATTACACCCACCGTAGTCCACTCCAGGCTCACAGGCCTCTTCAGTTCTCTGTTGCCTTGAGAGATTCTCCTCTCTATGTAAGAAGCAGTTTTCTGCAGGGAGGAGGGAGAGAAGGAGACAGGTTCAGCGCTGGCCAGGAGAGGGCTCAGATCCCCAAGCCAGGCCACCTCCAGCAGCCCTCAGCTGGCTTAGCACTCACCCTCAGCACAGCGGCACACTTCTTTGTGACAGATCTTGTTGAGCAAACCACCTTCTTTAGTCGTATGGTAGAACTTGGTGCAACTTTCCTCTGGGGAGGGGAGATGGGGAATGAGAAAGAGAGACCAGAGGCTTCAGCCCTGAGACCCAGAAGCTCAGGGACATGGACTGAGAGTAAGACCCTCAGGCCTCCAACCTCAGACCCTTGGGCCCCAAACTCCAGACTCTCAGATCTTCAACACTCAGATGTGCTCCCAGACTCTCAGAACACCATCATTCAGAATAGGAGGTCCTCAAGATCTTGCTTCCTGTTCCCATTTTCCCTTCCCTAGCCCCCAAGATAGAGGACTCGCTAACCCAAATTGTAGTAAGAGTAGACCTTGACGGCCCCAGGCTGGATGAGTCCCACTTCAAAGTATTGGTGGATCTTGAAGCTTAAGCACTCCTCTTCCTGGTTGGAAATCTGCGAGGAGGAGGGAACAGGAGGAATGGGCGTTCATGTAGAATAAGGAGAGGTCAAAAGGAGACAAAGACAAATCATAAGGAAGAAAGGGAGGGAGAGAAGAGAAGGAAAGTAATAGTAAGGAATAACAAAGAGATTGAGAGTAGTATAGAGATGGGTCAAAAAGAGGGGTTAGAAGGAGGAAGGGAGAGAGAGGGAAGGAGAGAGAAAGAGGGAGGGGGGAGAGAAAGAGAAGGGGGAGGGACAGAGGGAAAGAAAGAGGGAGGGAGGGAGAGAGAAAGAGGGAGGTAGAGGGGGGAGAGAGAAAGAGGAGGGGGAAGGGACAAAGGGAAAGAAAGAGAGAAAGAGGGAAGGAGAGAGGGAGGGGGAGAGAAAGAGGAGGGGGAGGGATAGGGAAAGAAAGAAAGGGAGGGAGAGAGAGAAAGAGGGAGAGAGGAAGAAAGAGAGGAAGAAAGGAGGGATAGTGGACAGAATCTGGACCGGGGATGGAAAATTGGAATGTAAGGGGCAAGGAGTTTGTTCACTGCTCACCTTGTCCAGGTAAATTATAAGAGTGCTCTTTTCGGACATCTGGCCCAGCTCATATTTAGAGATGTATCTGTCCTTGCCCTTGGCCAGCTTGTGGGTGGAAAGGGATGGGAGGCAAAGATACCATAAGATCCCGGAACGCTTCTCAGGGCTCCAGTCCTTCCCCCCAGCCATCCCAGTACTTGACTCTTCCCCAGCTCTGTTTCACCTGTCCCATTTTCTTACCAAATTGAGATCTTTTGTGTCTGGAGAAAAGCCAGTCATCATAGAGATATCCAGAATCGACATAGTAGCATCAGTTTGTCCTTGGTACCTGGATGGGGCAGCACCAAAAGGGCCCCGGGGGATCAGAGCAGGGGCAGCAGGGCCTGAGGGTTAGTCTACGATTGGGGTTTTGGCCTACAGCTATTGTGGGCAGCTGCTGGAGTCAGGTTAGACTTCCAAAATCCTCTTCCCTGAAAGACGTAGGGAGAAGGGAACAGGGGAAGGCTGAAGAGGGCAGAAGGGAGGAGAGGGAACATTGGTAACAGGAGTGACCTACAACCCATTCTGGGCCCTTCCTCTAGACAAGGGAGAGGAGATGATTCCCAGTGACTTTCACTCTCCTGGGACTGCTGGTGTCCACTTACTTAGTGCAGATATCAAGGAACACGCTGCCCTTGGCATCCTCAGGCACCCTTTCTGAAAACAGATGAGAGAGAATACATGAGGGTAAGAACTCCTGGTCTGGGTCCCCATTCCAGTGGGAAAAGGGTATAAGGTGAGGGGGCATCAGAATTGGGACAAGAGCTGGAGAAAAGGATCAGAGCCAGGATTTGGGAGCAAGGAAAGGAAAGAGATTAGAATTCTGGGCCTAGGAAGAAGAACAGGGCACTTTACCATTTGGTGGGACTGGTCGAGTGGACACCCTCAGGTCAAACATCTTACAGGCTATACTATCTTTTAACTTCGCATTATACACTGTCACAACCTGTGAATGGGAGAGGGAAGGTCAGAGTAGACCAGAGCAGGAAGAGGTAAAATTCTTCAGGTAAGAGGATTGGAGGGTCAGAACTGGGGCTGGGATTAGAGCCCAGGCTTGGGTAAAGTTAAAGGTCAGGGAGAGGCTAGGAGTGGGAGCTCAGGCTGGGCTTAGGTCAGGGGATGGAGCCTTCTCACCGAAAGTGTGCCTTGTCCTTTTCCTTTGACCTTTACAGTAAAGTCTTCGTTTATCTTGGTCTATAAGAAGGAGAATTCAGTTCAATGTGCAATTATTAAACACTATGTGCTGGGCATTTTGCTAGGCATTGGGGATACAAGGATTGAAATAAGATAATCCCTGCCCTTGGGAACTGATATTGGGGGAAATCAACACGTATACAGCTAAATATGAAAAGTATCCAAAATAAATACAAATTAATTTTGGGAAAGGGGGTGGGGAAGAACTAACAAACAGGTGAATTGGGAAAGGCCTCTTGGAGGAGGCGAGAGCTAATCAATAAATCAATAAACATTCATTAAGCACCTACTACACACCAGGCACTGTGCTAAACTCTGGGTATACAAAAAGATAGTCCCTGCCCTCAAGAAGCTTACAGTCTAATAGGGAAAATAACATGTAAACAGATGTATACAAAGCAAGCTATACAGGATGAATAGCAAGTAATTAACAGGGAAGGCACTGGAATTGAGAGGGGTTAAGGAAGGCAAGTGAGAGTCACGAATGAATCGTGATCAGACCTGCATTTTAGGAATATCAGTTTGGCAGTTGTGTGGAGGATGGGTTGCAGAGGGGAGAGAACAGAGACAGGGAGACTATTCAAGGGACTCCAGCAATAGTCCCAGGTTAAAGGTGGCAAAGGCCTGAGATGAGGTGCTATCGGTGTGAGGGGAGAGGAGACAAATGGTAAAGGTATTGATGTAGGAGAATCAATTAGACTTGGCAACCAACTGGATATAGGAATTCAGAGAGAAGGAAGAGACCAGAATGACAAAGAGGCTGAGAACCTGGGTTACTGGAAGGAGGATGGCGTCCTCCAGAGAAACAGGGAAGTTAGAAGGAAGGGGAAGGTCAGGGAGAAAGCTCATTAGTTCCATTTTAGAGATGTTGAGCTTGAGCAGTCCATGGAATATGCAGGTGGAGAGATCCACTAGGCAGTTGGTGATATGACCTAGAAGTTCAGTAGGGAGATAGGCTGGATCTGTAGATCTGGGTGCCATTCATGTAGAGCTAATCATTGAAATTGTGGGAAGTGATGAGATCACCACAACATAGAAAAGAGGAAAGGACCTAGCACAGAGCCCTGGGACACAGCCATACATGGGGGTAGAACAACACAGATAATGATTCTGCAAAGGAGACAGGTAAGAAGAAAGCCATGACAGGCCAGTGTCATGGAAATCCAGGGGAGAGAGTACTCAGGAGAAGGGGGTGGCCAGCAGCGTCAAAGGCTACAGACAGGTAAAAAAATAGGACTGAGAAAAGTCCATTGGATTTAGCAATAGAGAGGTCTCTGGTGACCTTAGAGCGATCGTTTCAATTGAGTTGGGGCAAAAAAACAGATTTCAGGTTGAGAATCAAATGCAATGTGAGGAAGTAGAGGTAACAAGTATAGAAAGCTTTTTTCTAGGAGTACGGCCATAAAATGGATGAGAGAAATAAGAATAACACTTAAGGGGACGTTAGGATCACATGGAGGCTTTAGAAAGTTGAGGGGGAAGGTCTGAGCATGCTTACAGGCAGCAGGAATAGAGCCAGTGGATAAGGAGGGGTGGGAGATGATCAAAGAGGCAAATTCTCAAAGGAGCTTGGGAGAGGATGGGATGTAGAACCCAAGGAGAAGGGTCGGTCTTGGAAAGGAACCTTACTATTTCTTCTTCAGAGATCATCGCAAAGAATGACAAGATGGGGGGATGATGTTGAGGTAATCTGAGGCACAGAATTGGAGAGAAATAATTTTTTTTCTGGTAGAACATGAAGCAAGAGGGAGAGGAAGGAAGGAAGAGAAGGTTTGGAACAAATGCTATGAGGAGCACAGTAGAGAGTCAGTAAAAGGTTTGGTGTGTGTCAATGAGGACCCAACTGTGATTGGATAACATGACTTTGTCATGAGCAAGTCAGCATAGTTGTGGGTTCTAGCAGATTCAGCAGCTTAAGAGTAGAAGTGGAGAAGGCTAATGGCAGCAATAATAGAGGGTTGGATTTGGAATGTAGTGAGTAGCCACAGGACATGGACAAGGGATTTAAGGGGAGAGGGCAGTGTAAAGTTGACCATATAGTAAAGTGTATGGGAAAGATTTCAAAGTGTGGCAGTGAGACCAGAACCTAGAGCCTGGGCAATCGGAAAGGAATGGAGTGACTGGAGCAGGAGTGGGGAACCTGCTGCCTTAAGGCCACGTGTGGTCTTGACTGAGTCAAAAAGCCACACTTAAGGACCTAGAAGGCCACAGGTTTCCTGTCCCTGGATTGAAGGTTGCAGCAGGAACAGAGAATAGGTTTGGGAGATATCTGACAGGGAAAGATGGGCAGATAAGAAGTCATGGTCAGGGAGGAATCTTAGAGTTCTGGATCATGAAGGTAGAACACTTTGGGGGGATGATGAGATGGAGGGTATAAACATTCCTGTGTCTGGCTGAGGTGGAGTGAAAGTGCACATAATGAGAGTGGAGGAGGCACACAAATGAGGAAGCAAGGGTGTTCAAAGGGATGTCAGTGTGTATCCTGAAGCCCCCTAGGGCAAGAGCAAGGGTTAGGGTAGAGAAGAAGACTAGAACATCTTTAGGAAGGGCTCAGAATGACCTGGAGGCCTAAAGATCATTGCCACCAGGATCTTAATAAGGTATGGAAGTCTTCAAAGAGGAGAGGCTGCTGAATGGTGGTGGTAGGGGACAGTCTGGAGGTGGCAGTGATAAGCTAGGAGCATACCTACTCCTCATTTTGACCCAAGGTGCTAGGGTGGGAATAGGCAAAAGTATGGCCAGAACTGGCCAGGGTGGCCAGGGATGCAGTATCTTCTGGAGGAGGTCATGTTTCCATGATTGTGGGAAGATGGAAAGAATGTGAGACAGAGAGAGGAGGAGAGGGGAAGGGAGGGGAAGGGGAGGAGAAGAGAGGAGAAGAACTGAAGGGAGGAGAGAAGAGAGGAGAGGAGAAGGGAGGGGAGAGGAAAGGGGAGGAGAGAAGAGGGGAGGGAAAGGGAGGAAAGGAGAGGAAAGGAAAGGAAGGGAGGAGAGGAGAGAAAAGGAGTGGGGAGGAAGAAGAGAAAGGAGTAGGAACATAAGAAGGGAGAAAAGGATAAAGAAGGAAGAAGAGATAGAGAATGAAAGAAGGTAAAGAGCTAGAAGAGAAGAGAAAGAGAAAAAAAGAAGAGATAGTAAAGGTGAAGCCTCTCCCTATGGTTAGGATCTTTCTTCATTTTACAGAGGCTTGGGAGGAGGTGACAGGCAGCCATTCATTAGGCCAGCATCCTCCTAGGCTTTCCAGCACTGACAGTTCCTGTGGTTCCTTTCACTGTGATTCTCTTTCCCTCACCATGTCCTTCTCCCAGAGCAAGAAGAAAGGGGACCCTGCCGCAGTAGGCTGGAACTAAGCATGGCATTCCCCTTTATCTGGGGCCCAGTGGCTGCAGTGAGTGGGGTGCAGACAGGGAGTGCCTTACCTCAGTTGACCTCAACAAGCTGGCAGAGTCATAACTGATGCGGTGGGTAAAAGCTGAGCTCCTGCTGGGCAAGTGAACAGAAATATCCAGGTCTAGTTCTTGGTGATCTGGCACATCCTGCTGGTACTGGGCCAGAGCCTGGAATACCATGAAGGTAGCCTAGAACACAAATCAGGGAGGCAAAAAAGAGGAAGTCACAAGAGAGCCTGGAAAGCCCAGAACACAACAGAGGTAACCTAGAACCCACCCAAAGGGAAAAGAGTCAGAGTCAAACCAGGGGCCAGAATACCACTGAGGTGACCTAGAACCCAACCAGAAAAAAAAGAGAGGGTCACAAGACATCTGAGAATATCAATAAGACAGCCTAGAACCCGTGACAATGAGGCTGTGTCAGAGCCTAGAGCACCATGAAAGTAATCGAGCAGCATAGAATCTTCTGTCAGAATTAGCCATTTGCCTAACTGATGTCTGAAAAAGAAATCCCAAGACTACACATCCAATAACTGGTCAGCCAGCCTTTGCTTGAAGACCTGCAAGGAGGAGGAGGTCCTTACCTCCCAAGGCAGCCCATTCCACTTAGAGAGAGCACTATGGAAATTGTTCCCAATGTCGAGCCTAAATTGGCCTCTTTTTAGCTTCTACCCATTGCTTCTAGTCTAGCCCTCAGGGGCCAAACAGACCCCATCGAATTCCTTTTCCAGATTAGAGATCTCCAAGTGCTCAAAGATAGATATCGTGTTTCCCCCGAGTCTTCGCTTCTTCATGTTAAACACTCTCAATTCCTCCAACAGATCCTCAAACCATCTGTGCTTGAGGCCCTTCACCATCTTGGTTACCTTCCTTTGGATACTCTCCAACGCAGTAATCCTAAAATGTGGTGTGTAGTACTCAACACAGTACTCCAGCTCTGATGTGACCAGGGCTAAAAACAGTGCTACCATCACTTCCTGTACATATTCCTGGAAGCTGTGCTTCTTAATGCAGCTAAGGTGACCTAGAACCAGGGGGAATGCTGGAGCCAGCTCACACTGGCTGTTGAAGGCAGATTGTTAAATTTTCATTATAAACATTTATACCTCAGAAACCAGCAAATGCTACAAATCGGGGCTTGATTTATTGTTTTGTGGATTGTCCAGACATAGGAAAGTCATGGAGAAATGGCTAATAATGCAGATTACATTTAAGTGTGTCATGTGTGCATTTTCTGCCCTGGAGAGCTGGTCGTTAAACATTTGCCTTGCTTAGAACCTGCCCATAGATGAACGAGAGAGGGCCACAACAGAGCTGGAAATACAAACAACCAATCTGACCTAGAATCCCCTCAAGGGAAAGAGAATTGTATGAGATCCTAGAACATCATCAAGAGGACATAGAATACACCCAGAGAGTGGTCACCTTGAAGCCCAGAATTCTGTCAAGAAGGCTTAGAACCTATGAAGGGAGTGAACAGTTCTGCCAGAGCCTAAAAAAGCACTAGAAACCAAAAACCAAAACTAAAAATGAAACCAAATCACCCCACAGACTGAGAAAGAATTGCAACAAAGCCAAAAATAATATCACCAAAGTATCCTAGAATCTAGCAAGAGAAGAAACACAAAATATGACCCTGGAGCCTAGAACACCAGCAAGAATATTTAGAACAAAAGAAAGAAAAGAAAAGAATACTTAGAACCCACTTGAGGAGAAATCAAAGCTGCCTTTGATAGACTTGGCTCTTCTCAGCAATGCAAGGATCTAAGACAACTCCAAAAGGCTCATGATGGAAAATGCTGTCCGTGTCCAGAGAAGGAACTTTGGAGTCTGAATGCAGATCAAAGCAAACTATTTGCGTGCACTTTCTCTCTCTCTCTCTCTCTCTCTCTCTCTCTCTCTCTCTCTCTCTCTCTCTCTCTCTCTCTCCCTCTCTCTCCCTCTCTCTGTTTTGTTTCTTCTTTCTTGTGGTTCCTCCTATCGGTTCTAATTCTTCTTTACAACATGACTAATGTGAAAATATGTTTAATAGGAATGTATATGTAGAGCCTACATCAGGTTGTCTCAGGGAGAGGGGAGGGGAGGGAAAGGGAGAAAATTTAGAACTCAACATCTTATAGAAGTGAATGTTGAAAACTAAAAATTAATTAATTAATTAAAAAGATAAAAATAAATAAAAAATTTAAAAGCTGGAAGACACCATTTAAAGCTTAAAAAAAAAAAGAAATCAAAGTTGCCTAAGAGTCCTGCCCCATCCTGGCTGTGTGTCAAAAGCTAAGACAAAGTGCAGGGCTGAGGGCGATCCCAACATCTCCCTTCTCAATCCATTGCCCTGCCCTGCCCTGCCCTGTTGAAGAAGCCCCAGCTGTTCCCTACCCCTCTTTCCAAGGCCAGCAGTAAAAGCTGTGCATTCCTCTCTGTAGGGGAAAGGGAGCTCAGAGGCCGGGAGGGGAAGGAGGAAAATACCTGGGGTTAACCCCACCACTACCAAAGCAGCCCCAGGACAATATGTAGGACTCTCAGACTGGGAGTCAAGTGACCTGGTCCTGGCTTGGTTGTGCCACTAATTTGATAATTCCCTGTGTGATTCCCCTTTCCAGGCCTTAGTTTACCAATCTGTAAAAGAAAGTGGTAGGTAATCTCTGAGTTTTGACATTCTGTAGTCTGTGTTCTAATGTCTCCTCTGAGAAGTCGAATACCAGAGTAGATAGAAATAAGGAAGTCCTGGGTTTGAGTCCTGCCTCTGACATACACTGTGCGATTACAGGGAAGGCACTTAGCCTCTCACTCCAGTGGTACCCCAATGATCTCCAAGAGCAAATACAAAATTCTCTGTGTGGTTTTCGAAGTCCTTTATTACCAGCTTCCCACCTCCATCACCTTCCTGTCTTCTTATTCCTTACTCTCCATCTGCCCTCCCCACCTTCCACTTTTTGATGACACAGGCCTCCTTGCTCTTCCACTAACAAAGACAATCCATCCCCCAACTCCAGGCTTTCCCCCTGATTTTCCCCCATGCCTGGAACATTCTGTCTCCCCATCTCCACCTCCTGGCTTCCTTCAAGTCCCATCTAAAATCCCACCTTCTATAGGAAGATTTTTCTGATGTGCTTTAAGTCTATTCCTTTCCCGCGACTGATTATCTCCAATATATCCCATGGGGCAGCTAAGTGACATAGCGGATAGAGCACCATGCCTGGAGTCAGGAAGATCTGAACAGGAAAATCTCACTCACTAGCTGTATGACTCTGAGCAAGTCACTTGACCCCTATTTGCCTCAGTTCCTCATGTAAAATGGGGACACACTGGAGAAGGAAATGGCAAACCACTCTAGTAGCTTTGCCAAGAAAACCTCATGGACTTTTGTCGGTGGGGTCATGTAGAGTCAGCACAATTGAACAACAACAAATGTATCACATATGTAGCTTGTTTGCAGAGTTATTTACATGTTGTATCTCCACCAACAGACTGTGAGCTCCTTGAAAGCAGAAACTGCCTTTTGTGTTTCTTTGTATCCCCAGTGTTTAGCATAGCACCTGGCACACAGTAGGCACTTAATTAATGTTTATTGACTGACTCCTAGGCAAATCTCCAAGACTATAAATTACAGATGAATTTGTGATTAGCATTGGTGGTGGGAATTCCACAAAAGGAGTTCCTTATACCTGTAGAATCATAGAGCTAGACCAAAAAAAAAAAAAGTCCCTCCCAGCACTGACATTCCATGCCCCAAAGACCTCCCCAGCTCTGACGTTCTATTGCCCCAAGGACCTCCCCAGCTCTAACATTCTTCTCTGACTTTCCTTGTTCTAAGAACCTCCCCAGCTCTGACATTCTGTGCCCCAAGGACCTCCCCAGTTCCGATATTCCTTGTTCTAAGAACCTCCCCAGCTCTGACATTCTGTGCTCTAAGGACCTCAGACATTCTATATGCTGAAGCTTCAGCTCTTACATTCATGTTGTGTGGGGCAGTACCTGGCACAAGCACATATTAAGTGCCTAATAAATGTATGCTAAAGTAAATTGAGGGCTTAGAGTTACATAATTCTATCTGATACTTCAAACTGTTTGGTTCTCTATTAATGATAATATCAGAAACAGGAATAACTGCAGATGGGATTACAAGTAATAATAACACTAATGATTAATTAAAGAGACTATAAATTGTAGACCAGGTATCAATCTGTATTGGTAAGAGGGAGTTTTCTCACTGGGAGTTCTCTACACCAATTGAAAAACCACAAGTCCAAGGTCCATGCTTATATTATGATTTTTCTGTCTTCTCTATTATGCAGTTCTCTAAGGTTCCACTTTTGATGCTTAGACAGTCAGAGAGAAGGGGCTGACCTCTCAGTGGATGGGATGGTGGCCACAAGCAATGCTATTTAAGAATCAGGACAAAAGGGGAGTCAGGGTAGTGTTGCCCTGTCCCTTCTATACAGACAGCAGGGATATTTCCTCTAGGAAGGCCACTGGAGGTGTGTGTGTGTGTGTGTGTGTGTGTGTGTGTGTGTGTATGTGTGTGTGTCCCTTGCCTACCAGGCCTGGACCCCACTTACCTGGGTGGACCCATAACCACCTCCATAGTATCTCTGCTCATTGAGCCATCGAACTACAGCAGGGACTGTGTCAAAGTCTTTCAGTTTCAGTAGGGCCAGAAGGGCATAGGATGTGGCCTCCACATTGTACAGCTTCTGGCCTTTCTCCTGCCAGCTGTTGCCACCTGTGGGGGAAAGAGAGCTCAGACATGTTGATTGCCTCTCCCCAGCCTAAGGAACTCCCTGGGTCCCCTTCTTTGACCCTCTTTCCCCACACTAAGGAGATTTACTCACTCGTGGCTGCCCTCATGAACTTCTCCACTTTGGAGTCATCAAGCTTCTCCAGCAAGCTCAGGGCATAGCCAGCCAGGGCCACAGTATAGGGCCGAGTCAGGCCCTGGTATTTGCCGGCCAGGAAGTTTCCTGCTTCATTGATTTTTGCTTCCAGATTCTATGGGAAGAAGATCCCGACCCTGCTCAGGCCAGCACTGTTGGGCACTTTATGCCATATCCTACTCCCCTGTCAGGTACCACAGACCACCTAGCATGCCCTCTGGCCTGGAAAGGCCATCTTTTATTCCCCAGGGACCAGAGAGGAGGTTTGAGGCAGCAAGGGGAACTTGAATGTTGGGGCACAGGTCATAAGACTAAAGAGATGTTCAGGCCTGGGAGGTTTGGGGAGAGTCTAAGGCAAGGGTATTGGGGACTGGAAAAGGATTAGGACACACAGAAAGACTGGTGGAGGGGGGTCACTTACATTGACTTGGCCTGCACAGATGTCTTTTGCTTCATGCAGAGCTATGAGTACAAAGGCTGTGAGTGAAACATCAGCCTCCCCACCTTTGTAGCCACCCTGAGGGGAGAAAAAGCCAGGTTATTCATTGAGTTCAAATCTTCTCAGCCTCTAAACTCCCATTTCTCCTAGAAAATCTCATGGCCTTAAGTCTCAGTCCTTCCAGGATTAGACTTTCTGATCTGTTAGACTAGGAACTTCCTGAGGGCAAAAGCTGTGTCCTCCCTCAGATCAGAGGCTGATGCTAATGGGTAAGAGTTGGGGACAATGGAGGACTGACAGGGTAGGGGTAAGTTGTACTCTTCTATCTCATCAGAGGAGATGATACCAGGTCCACCTTCTGCCAGCCAGGCCACTGTATACTGTAGCTAAGGATCCCCACCCCTACTTTCTAATGACCCAGAGCAAGGCTTTTCATGCTACTAATGCCTCCAACCCCTTTGGCCGCCTCCTCCAATTGATGAGTTCCTCCCCAGAACCTCTGATTTGAAGAAGCACCCACATCAGTCATGCTGACTTCCAATCCAGACCAACCCATGAATGACCTCCACAGGCTATCTTGCTTTCCTTCTCCTACACTTTTCAGCTCCATTTTATGTGTCATCTTCCCCGACTAGAATGTAAACTCCTTGAGGGAAGGAACTTTTTTTTGTTGTTTGTTTGTTTGGGTTTTTTTTTTGCTCCTAATTGCATTCCCAGTGCTTAACACAGTGCCTGGTACATGGTAAGTCTTTAGGAAATGCCCTATCTGTCTGTCTATCTATCTATTTTATGTCTATCTTATCTGCCTACTTATCTGTCTCTCTAGCTACTGCTATCTATCATCTCCAACTATCTATCCACCCATTCATCTACGTATAGATCTCTAATATCTGTCTCTTTTATTTACCTCTATATATCTGTCTGTCCTACTCTATCTACATCTATCTATCATCTCTCTATCTACTCATCCATCTATCTACCTACCTATGGGTCTATCACTCTATCATCTATATGTCTCTCTATCTATTCTATCTACCTGTATAGCTATCTATCTAGATATCTGTCCATCTGTTCCACTTATATCTATCTATCCATCTATCTAGTATCTATCTCAATGTTATCTACCTTTATCTATCTCTTTCTATCCTACTCTATCTACATCTATTATCTGTCTCTATGTTTTATCTATATCTATCTTCTATCATTTCTTCTCTCTCTCTCTGTTTCTCTCTCTCTCTCTCTCTCTCTCTCTCTCTCTCTCTCTCTCTCTCTCTCTCTCTCTCTCTCTCTCTCTCTCTCTCTCTCTCTCTCTCTCCCCCCCTGCCCCGGAATCTAACCTTCCTATCACTGCTGCCTTACCATATTCCCTCTCACTCTAACCTCTCTAAGTGGAAGGTGGGGGTCTTACAATCATCTCCTGATGGATCACTGGACCATCCTCCTGGAACATTCCATCTGGTCTCTGACTCTCCAAGATGAGCCATTTGACAGCACCACAGAGGACCTGGGCATCAATCGCTATGAGGTTGGTGGCCATGGAGAATACCTTTACGACATAGGCTGTCAGCCTGGAAGACAAGGTCATGACGTCAGCTTGCCATGTGAACTTTCTCCTCACAGAGGCACAGAGAGTTCATCTGATCTGATCTGCCTTCTAGAGACCCAGAGGGGTACACAGAGCCAGTAAGTGGAAGTCAGGATTTCAACCCAGGTTTCCTGACTACAGTCATCAGGGTATACTAGAAAGAACATTGGACATGGAGTCAAAAGACCTGGACTAAGGTCCCAGTTCTGCTATTGGCTGTGTGGCTTTGAACACATCATGTGACCTCTCAGCCTCAGTTTCTTCATCTGTAAGATGAAAGCATTGGAAAAGATGATCTCAAAGAGCACTTTCAATTCTATCATTCTATGTTCTAAAGTCCCTGCCATCATCTCTAATATTCTCTGTTCTAAGGTCTCTTCCAGCTCTGACATTTGATGTCCTAAGGACACTTGTATCTCTGACATTCTGTCATTTAAGGCCTCTCTCAGCTCTGACATTCTGTGTCCTAAGAGCCCTCCCAGATCTGACGTCCTGTGTTCTAAAATCCCTTCAACTCTGACATTCTGTTCTAAGAACTCTCCCAGCCCTAACATTCAGTTGAGATCTATGCTTTCAATCTTAGGCACAATAAAGGTACTGAAAAGTTCACTGGATTTGGGGTTGGAGGATCTGGGTTCAAAAACCATCTCTGCAACCTTGGGTAAGTCACTTGACCTCTCTGGACCTCAATTTCTTTATTTGTAAAATGGAGATATGAAGAGTTATACTATTTAATTCCCAAAGATATAGGCAAATGCTTTGTCCATATAAAGTGTTCCATATAAAGCTATTATTATAATTGCTGTTATATTATATGCTATTATATATGGCTGTTATTATTAATCCCTTATGTCACTCCCCTCCTCTAGCCTCAGCGTCTTTCTTTGTAACATGAGAGGGATGGACTCTTGGGCCCTTTCCACTCGACAGCCTATGAATTTCTAAATCTTGTGCTGTCTATATTGGACAATGCTAGCTAGCTCTCCTTACCTTTAGCAGTTGGGCTTGCATCTCCCCACCTGTATTTCAATGCCACAGTGGGCTGAGAGAGGGAAGACACTTCCCTGGGGTCCATCCCAGGCTTACCACGTGCTGGATTGTCGATTTTTAAAGGCAGCATAGGAGTGGTCTGACTTCTTAAAGGCCAGCTGTTGAGCATACCCTGTGGGGAGGGCAAGTGGGTATGGTTTGGTCAGAAAGGGACCATGGGATCATGGAAATAAGCTCTGGAAGAGGCTAGGGACACATTAGGGAGTCAAGGGACCTCACCCTTCTTGATAAGCTCTAAGGCTTCCAACCGCTTTTCCACCCCAAACCTTTCCCACTGATCTGTGGCATCAAGATAGTGGACGGCGATAACAGTGGGAGTCATTCCAATCATGTTCTGCTCTCCACAGCCTGATGGCGTCACGATCAGGTGCTTCAGCTTGTTACCATCTATGGCATCCTCAACCATCTGGGCCACAGGTGTTCCTACGGACAGGATTGAGCCCTGTCAGAAGCTCCGTCAAGGATGGGCCCTTGGCCACTGGAGCTCCTTTCTCCTTTACCCCCAAACCCAATGTCTAAAGCCATGAGTTAGAAGGAAGAAAGGAAGGAAGGGAGGAAGGAAGAAGGGAAAGGAGGGAGGGAGGAAGGAAGAGAGGAAGAGAAGGAGGAAGGAAAAAGGGAAAGGAGGGAGAAAGGAAGGAAGGGAAGAAGGAAGAAGGGAAAGGAGGGAAGGAGGAAGGATGAGAGGAAAGGAAGGAGGAAGGAAGGGAGGGAGGGAGGAAGGAAAGAGGGAAGGGAGGGAGGGAAGGAGGGAGGAAGAAAGGAAGAGAGGCCAGGGAAATATCTCCCCCAGGTGGGAGGTGAGGAATCCCTGGACACTGTTACCTTGAAATTGTATACTAGTTTCTGACTCTGTGCCTGGAACAATGTCATTGATGTCTGCTGCAGGAATGTCTTCCCTCTGTTCCCCATCTGACCGAGGAGGTAGAAGGTGGGATGATCATGGAGGGTCCTCTCTCCAGTTCCCTTACCCTCCTCCCCCCTGCAGTCCCACTCAGGCTTCCCCACCTGCCTTCCCATACCCCAACTCACTGTGGCCAAGTTTCACTGGGTCCAGGGTTCGAGTGGTCACAGCCTTTGACACTTTCATCCCTTCCGGCTTTGTAGGGGATAGTAGGGAGGAGATAGCTGTCATCCCCAGAATGGGTTTTCTCTCCCATTCTGAGGACAATTGAGTCTGGTTCTAGAGGATTTGGGGTGGGTGGGTAGTGGATTCTAGGGTCCTACAGTTCTTGTACTTGAAGGTTTTTGGACTCTAAAATTCTCACAATCTAAGGTTCTAGAGTCTTAGTGTCTAAGCATCAGAGGTTTTTGGATCCTGAAGTCCTGAGAGGGTAGAATTCCCTTGGCTATAGGATCCTCCAGTTTGAGCAGCTAAGATTCTTGAGGTGTTGTCCCCCAAGGCTTTCTCCAACAGAGGGGCTCATCTAATGCAGGCTCCAGGGGAGTGGGCAGGTGAGGGGGGACAAGGCCAACTCCCCCACAACTTACCACGACCTTCAGTTTCTTTTTGACACCATCGCTGATAAGTTGGTTATAGACAGCAGCCTTGACTTCTATATCATGGTTGCCGATTTTCAGGGGCACAATGACAAAGGGCACAGCTAAAGAAGATTTGGCTGGGATCTTCACTATCTGCTGGTAGCGCTTCTTGGAGGTGGCGGCGCTGCAGATGACAGGGTTGTGGAGCAGCTCCACGCGTACCTGGTGAGGTGGGGAGAGGCGCCTCCGAATGACACAACCCCCTCCAAAACGTGATCTTCTTCCTGTCCCCTCCACTGCTCAAGAACCCTCCATGGCTCCCAACGTTTTCTGAACCTGGTTTCAAATCCTGGCTTACTTCCCACCTGTGTGACCTTGGACAAACCACTTCTGCTGCCTAGGCATGTTCTTCCTTAGTGAAATGAGGAGATATAGAGGATTGCTAAGATTCCTTCTATCTCTGACATTCAATGCTTCAGGGTCAAAGAATCAGAGAAACTAAGCATTGGAAAGAAGCTCAGAGGCTGCCTAGTTCAACTACCAAACCTATACCTAAACAATCATCCCCACCATATTGTCCCTGCTATTTTTGCTGAAGCCTTTGCTTAAAGACCTCCAGGAAGCATTTACCACAATGGCAGACACATAGTAGGTACTTAATAAATATTTATTTATGAAATAGACTTTGACGGGGTTGGGATCTAAACCCCTAAAAGGAAAAGACCATATCTTTGCGATCTGGATTCCATAAAGGAAAAACCCTGGACTCCCCAAATCTCTGGGGTTTGCCTGAGGTTGTAATCCACTTAACTGGCCTTTCTTTGTGCTATGTCCAGTCTTCCAGTTCTGTTCCTTTACCTCTGGATTGCTCCAGGCCACTTCCCACCTTTAATCCTATCTAGACTCCATTCTCCCTTGGCCACGTGGTCCAGGTCCCTGGAGCTCTGTTCACCCCAGCTTACTGGCCACTCCCATCCAGGACCTCCTTAGACCCCTCCTCCAGTCACCCCAGACTACTTGACCACTCTTAGATTCCTCCCACAGACTTTCTGTATATAAGGCCCATCTTGTCTCCATTAAGGTGCTCAGATTCTTAAAATTTGGCCCGCTTGCCTTACAATACAATACAGATGATTAGATGCCTTAAGAGTTGGGCCGATGTAGTGGATTCTTTAAATCGCACTCACTCCACTGATGTTCCAATAAACCTTGTCTTTGGCTGAAAGAAAGCTTGGGTCTAATTCATTTGGGCAGGACCCGCATGTAGTGATTTTGGGGTCCCAGCACCCCTAAACCTCAACAGCTTTCCATTTATTAAGCTGGCACTGACTGACTGAGGGAAAACTTACTCCCCATTAAGATTCCACTTGGGAGCAACTCTAAATGCTAGGACGTTTGACCTTACATCAAGCCCAAATCCACACCTTTGCAAGTTCCATTCAGGACCATGTGACACATAGAATAGAGCCCTGGACACAGTCAGGAAAACTTAAGTTCATATCTTGCCTCAGACACTTGCTAGCTATGTGACCTTGTGCAAGTCACTTAATCCTGTTTGCCTCAGTTTCTTCATGTGTAAAATGAGCTGAAGAAGGAAATGGCAAACCACTCCAGTGTCTTTGCCAAGAAAACCCCAAATGGGGTCATAAAGAGTTGGACACTACTAAAAAATGACTGAATTGTTATCATCAATCCTAGTTTTGCCTATGGGATCAACTAGAATAAGTCCAAGCCTTCCAAGCAACTGTCCTTCAGATTCTTGGAGGTAGCTAGTGATCGGCTCCTCCCTAAGGCTTTTCTTTCCTAGGTTAAGCACCCCCAGTTCTTTCAACCAGTCCTCAGTATCTATTCTGTTTTCCCCAAATCCCTCTGATATTCTCAGTCCTTTGTTGCTATTCGGTGATGTTGTATGTGTTTTTTCCTCCTATCTCCACCCCTACACCTTCCCCTCCCTGAAAAGTCTGGCACACTTTGTTAGGAAATGATGGGGTAGGGAAAGCAGTGGGCAGGGCTCCGTGAAGTCTCATTGAATGAGTCATCCATGGAAGAAGCTCACATTCTTCTCCCTCCAACTTGGGAGAAGAGAATAGGCAGCGGTGGGGTCCGGGGTGGGGACAGGGTGAGCAGCGAGCCTGGGCAGGGGGAGTCTGGGCAGGGTGATCCAGGGCCCCTCACCTTGAATGGGTTCTCCCCATAGTTGTAGAGAATAGCTCGAATCTCCACCTGTTCGTTGCGTACCACAGAGTAGGGCAGACGAAGGTCGATGAAAAAGTCTTGCATCACGGTGATCTCATATGGGTCAGCCACACAGATCCCTGCCCAAGCAGGGAACAGGAGCAGAGAATAAACAGGCAGCTGGAGGTGGGGGAGCCCTGGTCCAAGAGTCAAAGGCCTGGATGCCAGTGTCACCTCAGCCGATAGCTCACCCTAAGTCCTTGAATCAATCCATCCATCATCAATAAGTATTTATTAAGCACCTGCTATAGGCCAAGCATTGTGTTGGGCACTGGGGATACAAGTGCCAAGAATGAAACAATCCCTATTCCCAAGGACTTTGTCGTATGTATATATGTGTGCATGTACAGATATGCACATGTCTACACTTTTATTATATGTATATACACACATGCATTGTATGTATATATACTATACACACTTACCATATAAGTATTATGAATCTATAGTATGTTCACATTTACTATATGCATACATTTATATACATGTGTATTTGTACACATATATGTGTGCCCACATATGTACATACACACGTGTATGTATGTACATACATGTACAATCCCTAACCCCAAGGATTTTATAGTTGTATGTACATATGTATGTATTATAGATATGCATACATATACACATTCATTATATGTATATACATTATATGTATATACATAATGTGTTGCATTATATGTTGTACACACTATACATGTATAGTTACACATTAACTATATATGTATACATTTATATACACATGTGTTTGTACACTCGCATACATGCACTCATGTGTGTGTATATGTATGTGTATATGCATATATAGAGACACACACATACTTACACATACAATCCCTATTCCCAAGGACTTTGTATTGTAATATAAGGGTGTATGTATGCATGAATGCATATTTGTATGTATTAATGTGTGTGTATACATATATATATACGCACATATATCATATATGTGTGAGACCACTAGGTAGATAGAGGGTCACACTTGGAGTCAGAAAGACTCATCTTCCTGAATTCAAATCTGGCCTTGGACACTTACTAACTGTGACCTTCAGCAAGTCACCTAACCCTGTTTGCCTCAGTTTCCTCATTTGTAAAAATGAGCTGGAGAACGAAATGGCAAACCACCCCAATATCTTTGCCAAGAAAACCTCAAATCGGGTCATGAAGAGTCAGACATAACTGAAATGACTGAATACACATAGTATATGTGTGTGTGTTGTGTGTGTGTGTGTGTGTGTGTATATATAATGTGTGTGTATGTATATATTCATATGTATGCTTATATGTATAAAGTATTTATATATATGTCTTCTCCATGACAATGTATATGTATATTCATATATATATATATATACAGAATAAATATAAAGTGAATAATAAACGTTTTTTTCAGTGTAGTTAGATACAAGGTAGTTTGGGAAGGAGGCATTAGCATTTGAGGGATCAGGAAAGGCTTCCTGCAGGAGACAGTGTTTGAACTGCATCTTGAAGGAAGAAAAGGACTCCAGGAGGTAGAGGTGAGAAGGAAGCAAATTTTAGGCCAGAGGTCAGCTAGCACAAAAATAGAGAAATGGGCAATGTAGCATAAGTAAGCAGCTGGGTTGGATTGCATTGTGCAGGAAGGCAAGTAATATCCAATGGGTTTGGAAAGATAAATTGAGGACATAAGATTTTAACAACTAAACCGCAGAAGTTGTATTTTATCCTCAAAGTAAAAGGAACCCACTGGAGTGGGTTGAGGAAGGGAAGTCACACAGGGAGATGTGTGCTTAAGGACTATCCCTTTGGTAGCAATGGTATGTAGGGAGAGACTAGAGGCAGGGAGCCCCATGAAGACGCTGATGCAATGAACTAAGTGACAGGTGATGAGGATCAGAACTAAAATGGCAGCTGTATGAGTGGAGAGAAGGGGTCAGATATGAGAGCCAGGAAGGTGAAAAATAACAAGATTTAGGAAGTGATCAGGTAAGAGAGTGAAGATTCCAGGATAATGCTGGGATTAGGAACCTGAGACGCTCGGAGGATGGTGGCTTCCACCGAAATAGGAAGGCTTAGAAGAGGGCTAGGTGTAGAGGGAAGATAACAGGCTTAGTGTTGGACATATTTAGTTTGACGTATTTCCGGGATATCCAGGAATCACTGATAGGTGATGGGAGCCGCGGACTCAGAGGAGAGACTGAGGCTATATCTATAGTTGTGGGGCTCATCGTCCTGGAGATGATGATTAAACTCGTACACATTAGGTGCTTATTAAGCACTGAATTAAACCTATGCTCTAACAGTGGAGGATTGATGGGACCTTCATTGGACAGATGAGGAAATGAAGATCCAGAGAGTGGAAGGAACTTACCCAGAGTCATAAAATGGGAAGTCAGGATTCAAATTTAGGCTTTTTAACTTTAAATCCAGCTCCTTTTCCCCAAAGAGAAAATTGTATGTGGCACCTCCCTCTCCACCAGAGGCAGGGGTAAGGGGCTTGGGAGGGGAGGGCCTCTCACGTATCAAAGCAGAGAGAAGGATGCTGCTGTCTCCAGCCCTTGCTCCACATCCCTTTCTCTCCCTCCCCCACCCCCGAATCCCGCTATCATCTTTTCTCTCTCAGTCCTAGCCTCACCTTTGGTGTTTGACAAACTGATGGCCAGAACCTCCCAGGTTGTGATGGAGTCTTTGAGGAACACAGTGTAGGACTTTGTAGAGATTCTGGGAGGGAGGAAAAGAGGGAGAAGTGAGAGAGAAGGACTTGGGGGAGGGGGTGCCTGTCTCCGTGGCAGGCTGGAGGCCTTAAGACTGAGGGAAGGACGTTGGCATCATCTCACCAGAAGGAGATGAAATGAGATCAGAATGACTATTTGGGGATTGTGGAAAGGGGGCTGGAGGCCAGGATCATCACAGGGGGTCTCAGCCTTACCCATACTTGTCAGGCTTCTCTACTAGTGGCTCCACAGTCCACATCCAGCTCTCTGGGAACTGGCTTCTGGAGATGATGTCTTCCTCTGGCATAAAATCCTCATCTAGTTCACCTGGGGAGGCGGGACAGGAGGGGTGATGGGGTCAGAGCAGCAGCCTCTTCTTCACCCTGGGCCCCTGACCTATTGCCTACCCAAACCTCCCCACTCAGGCTGGGAGCCTGGACCTGGCCCTCCCCTGGGGCTGTCTCCCCCTCAATCTGGGGCCCTGGGGCCACGTCTTCCCTTAGACCGAAGCTCTATCTCCTCCAAGAGCCCATGTCCCTTAACCCTATATCTCTAACAGTTGTTCTTATAATTCCCAGAATCACTTCCATGTGGCCCTCCCCAGGCATAGGGACACTTACTTCGGGACAGGTTGAGGACGTTGTCTCTATGTTTCTCCAGACGAACCTTGGTGATGTAGTTACAGCAGTCCAGGAAGGCTTTGACACATTCCTCTTTCTCTAAAACGTACTTTGCCCTCCTTTCGCACGAGTAGCCCATGGGGTTCAGTTGCATGCCATCCTCACAGCAAGTCCTCAAGTCTTTATCCTTATACTGGCCAGCTGCAAGAGGCCCACCCCAGTACCCTCAGTGTCTTTTAGGGCCATCCCAGAAACCAGGCAAGATCCGGTCTGAGTTTCCCTTCCATTGAGGACTAGTGTGGGGCCCAGGAGGGGTCTTCCTGCTGGCAATGTTGGCCTGATGGGCCCTATTCCCTCACCTTTGTCATTCCTTATCTCCATGAGCTGGACAGAGCGGCGCCGACGACGCTTGGCTAGCTTCGGGCACTCGGGGTCTGCAAGTGGAGGACAGATAAGACAAGAGGGAGAATACATGATAATCTGTGTGGGTTTGGTTGGATCCTCATCTCTCACCAGGCAGTATCAGGTCCTGAAAGGACCTTTCTGTGTGACTGCCCTCCCGGACGAGCCCTATGGACATCTTGTCCACATCTTTGACTCTCTCAAGCCCTCCTTCCTCCCCTAAGCCTCACCAGACCGCTGGGCTGTCTGAAGTTTCTTGTTGGTCTGTAGAGCAAGCCCGGCATCTGTGAACACTCCAGCATAGTCCTGTCCACTGCCTGGAGTGCAGCCAATATCTCCTTTCTCCACTGTGTCCCAGACCTGGAGGCACAGAGAAGTCCAGGCAGGAGCTGAGTGAGGGGCTGGGAATCACTGAGGGGCATGGCAAGTCAATAAGAGGGGAAAAGATTCAGTGAGTGGGGGAAGGAAGCTCTGTGAGGGATGGAGTGGGTTCAGAGAGGATGATAATAGTAATAACAATAACAATAACAATAATAATAATAATAATTGTAGCATTTATATGGCATCTACTGTGGGCCAGGTACTCTTCTAACTAAGCACTTTACAAATATTCCAATTGATTCTCACAACTCTAGGAGGTAGATGCTACTATTATCCCCATTTTATAGCTGAAGAAGCTGAGGCAAACAAAAGTTAAGTGACTTGCCCAGGGTCAAATAGCTAGGAAGTATATGAAGCCAGATTTTAACTTGGGGTCTTTCTCATTCCAGGCCTAGTGTTCTATCTACTGTACCAAGTAGGCTTAGTGAGGGGGATGAAGGGAACTTGGAGGGATGGAGGGGATTCAGTGAGGAAGATGGAATAGGTTCAGGGAGGGCGATGGAGGGGGGTTCAGTTGGAGATGGAGGGCGTCAGTGAGGGGATGTTTCTGCCACAGTCCCAGACCCACCTTGCTCTGGGTCAGTTTGTTCTTCTTATTCAGAACAAACACCCCTTTGTCCACAGCCACGAGCCCCACGAGGGCTCCAGCGTCACCCTCAATCTTCAGGGTGGCCTGTTTTCCAGGCAGGTGTGTTCTCTCTGCATTTCCCGCTCCTTTCACCACCAGCTAAGAGGCAGAGAGGAAATTCAGTCATGCTTGGAGGTTTGGAAATGGACATGTCCAGTTCCCTCCCTTTTAGCAGAGAACCGAGGAGGAGGTGGAGTAACAACAGTCTGGTCCTCCGAGACCTCTGGAGATGGGGAGTTCACCAAGTTCTAGAGGTGGCCCATTCAACTTTTGAGTAGAAACCAAGGCAGACATCACTATTGAAAGAGGGAAAGATGTAGAGAGAGAACAAAAGGATAAACAGACAAGAATAGAGCTAAGACGCATGTAGCAGGAGAGAGAAAAACAGAGAAAACAAATGGAGAGACTGGGGGACAGATGAGGACAAAGATGAAAAACAAAGAGAGTCAAGATTGGATAGACAGAGATGAGAAAAAGACAGACGAAGAAGTAGAGGCAAAAACAGAGAAGGAGACTGACATAAAGAGACAGAAAAAGAGACTTTGAGAAAGAAAAACATGGAAAGGCACATTTTCTTCAAATGTTCCTATAGTGCTTTGACCAATCTCTCCTTTGCCCCACTTACACCCACCTTTTATTATACCTATCTGTGCAGGAATTCTACCCTCCATGTAGAAAAGGAACTCTTTGAAAGCAAGAACAATATTCTATTTTAGTTCTTATTTCCTGCTTTCAGAACAGGGCCTGACACATAGTAGGATAGTAAGAGCAAAAGTGTAAAGATATAAGGAGCCCCCGAAACCATTTAGTCTAACCCATTCATTTTTTAGCTGAGAAAACTGAGGCCTAGTGGGGTTCATTGACTTGCCTAAGGGCAAAAAGGTTGTAAGGAAAAGAATCAGAATTTGAAAAGAGGCCCTCTAACTCCAAGTCCAGTAAGTACTAAATCAATGTTTATTGAACCGAATTGAGACAGAAAAAACAGAAGCACAAATAAGACAGAAAAAGAAACAAAAGAAATGACACATATATAAGACACAGATAGGCAGCAAAAAGCACAGAGATGTATTGAGAGAGGTAAAGACACACACAGATGCAGAGAAGGGGACAGAGAGAGAGAGAGAGACAGAGAGACAGAGAGACAGACAGAGAGAGATAGAGGCTCACAGAGGAAGAATCACAGAATCTCACATTTGGAAGGCATTTCAGAAACCATCTAATTCAACCACGGCTACCCAAGCTGGGAGGAACTTAGAGACCACCCATAAAATGCCCTTATTTTATGGAAGAAGCCCATACCTGATCAAGAATGATCTCTATAAAGTCCTCAGTAAGAGGTCATTTAGTTATTCCTTAAATACCTCTAGAGATGGGAAAATCACCAGCTCTAGAACTCTTGAATAGAAACAAAGATAGACACAATGCTAAGAAGCCAAGGCTAGCATAAGGGTAAGGGGAAGAGGCTCACCTTGCCCATGCAAGTGTCCTTGACATCCACCCATACAGAGTCAGCCACCAACTCCTTCTGGCCATTAAGAGTCAGATGGTAATAGGCCACCACTCGGAAGGAGGGGATGTAGTCAGGTGTGAGGGGTAGTGAGAGCACCACCACATCCTGGCCCTGCTGCCGCGGCTGACGCCCAGCCTTCAACACCAGCCCCTTGTTCATGATCTGGGGAGGACACAGATTATAGAGGGGTAGGGCCAGCTGACCTTTCACAGGGACAGGAGACTGGGGAGTTTTGGGAGGAGCAAAAGGGAACAAGGGTGGGGAACATAGAGGGAAGAGAATGTGGGAGAGGGAAATCAAAGGAGATTGAGGGAGAAGGACCCAATGAGAACTAGGAAGAGAGAGTGATTAAAAGAGGAGAGTCTGGACAAATAGAATGGGAGAAGGGGACCAAGGAAAGAAGGATCTGGTGGACAAACAGGGATATAAAAACAACAACAACAACAAAACAACAACAACAACAACAACAATAATAATAATAATAGTAACTTTATATAGTAATTCAAAGTTTACAAAGCAACTAAGTGTAAGAGATGGGATTTGAATCCAGGACTTCCTGACTTCAAGCTCAGCCCCCAATCAATTATACCACACCACCTTTCATTAGGGATGAAGGGGTCTCAAGAGGGATCATGGAGACGGAAGCTGGAAGGAGGGGAAAGGATCTGAGGGTTTGGAGGGTAGAGATGGGGGAAGCAAGAAGAATCAGAGCAAGGGGGACTTGGGAGATGGGGAGAGGAAAAAGAAGAGAGGGATCAAGAATTGCACTGGGGATATACCACATAGGTGAAGTAATTGATTTGCTGGTTCACGTTGGGCCCGTCTGTTCTCAAGTGGAAGTTGACGTTCAGGTTATCTCCAACCTTGAGTTCCACTGAGGGCACCGACAGGTGCAGGTAATTGTTGGAGCCGGCTACGGTCTGGTAGGGTTGAGCTACCATTTGCTGGGATGCCTGGCGATCCACAGAGAGTCCTTCCTTGTCTGTCCTCACCTAAGGGTAGGAAAGAAGTAAAACTTTAGTCCACAGCACATATTTGCTTTGCATGTGCAAATGAATTTTCTCAGCACCAGATCACTTATAGTAAGGAGAAAGGACAGGATAACTTCTGGTCAGCACCATCCAGGAAGCCCACAGAAGACTGGGACTTGTCCAGACATACATACACAGAGGCAGAGTCAGAAACACATACAGAGAAAGCCAGAGAAGGGGTGGGGAGAGAGGGAGAGAGAAGAGTGAAAGGGGAAGAAAAAGAGAAAGGGAAGGGAGAATGGGAAAAGACAGAGGCAGAGAGAGAGAGAGAGAGAGAGAGAGAGAGGAGAGAGAGAGAGAGATACAGAGGCACAGAGATAGGCAGAAAGAGGAGGGGAGAGAGACAGAAACAGGGGAAAGATGGAGGGAGAAAGAAGGAAAAAGAGAGAGAAAGAGGGAGACAGGTGAAGAGAGAGAAAAAGAGATGGAGAGAGGTGGAGGGAAAGAGAGAGAGAGAGGTGGGGGGTGTGGAAGGAGAGGAATCAGCTTTTGCTGTCTGGAAAACTGCCAGTAGCATTACTGGAGGAGTGGGAGGGAGTAGGGAGGGAGGGAGAGAAAGGACTATGCAGTATTCCTTATTTACCACTAAGACAAAGTAGCAACAGGAAGGTTATAATGGTCTGGGTTTCTCCACCTGTAAAATAGGTAGACGTTGAAAACCTATATAGACAACTTACAGAAATATGTCAGACTGAAAGCCATTCCCCAAAAGAGAAATTGTCAAAGGATATGAACACAGAGTTTTCTGCAAACTATTAGCAGCCATATGACAGAATGGTTCAAATCACTAATAATAAGAAATGAAAAATCAAAATCCTCCGAGTTTTCACCTTCCACCCAGCAAAGTGGTAAAGATGACTACAAATAGAAATGGTCAATATTGGAAGGGTTATGGAAAGATGGATATACCAATGCATTAATGGAACTGTGACAGTATGATCATTCTGGAAAGTACTTTGGAATTGTGCAGAAAGTGACTTAAATGTCCGTGGCCTTTGACCCAGAGATCCCATTGCTAGGACTATACACCAAGGAAGTCAATGACAAAAAGAAAAACCAAAATACACCAAAGTATTTATAGCAGCATTTATCAAGGTAGTAAAGAACTGGATTTCAAAGCATATTGATTCAAAGTCTCTGTATTTCTCTCTCTGTCTCTTTCTGTGTCTTCTCCCCTCCCTTTCTCTTTTTCTTCCCCTTTCGCTTTTCTCCTCCCCTCTCTCCCCACCCCTTCTCTGGCTTTCTCTGTGTCTCTCTCTGCCTCTGTCTCTGTGTATGTATGTCTCTTCTACACAGACTTTCCTCTTCTCTTACCATTTTGAAGTATATCCCACCACCCCAGACCTTTTCTTATACAACATCCTACACAACAGAGAAAAAGTAGAAGTGAATGAGATTAAAAGAAAGGTAATGGAGGGAATGGATAATAAGAGAGAGGCTACATTAAGATAATCAATAGTCAGATGCAAAACAGACTCTTAAAGAGGGGACAGGGCAAAAAAACCCCAGAACAATAATTGTAAAAGAATAGGAAGCACAGTTTACAATCATAACTATGAATGCAACTATTCAAAGCCTATAAATAAATTGTGACACACAAACCTAATAGAATATTGCTGGGCTATAAGAAAGGATGAATAGGATGAATAGAGAAAAGCTTGGGAAGACATCTGATGCGAAGAGAAATAATCAGAATCAGTAAAATATCTACAATGACTATAACAACCTAAATGGACATAACAACAAAACAATTGAAAATGAGTGCTGTGAAATTATAATGACCAAGAGAGATATGAGAAGACACTTCTCCCTGCTTCTTTGCAGCAGTGAATTACCAGGGGTGCAGAACACTGCACGTAACATTGACTTTTTTTTTTAACTATGTTGGTTAGCTTTGCTGAAGGTTTTCCTTTTTTTTCTTTTTTAAAATTCCTTATTCTGAAAGCTGGCTCTTTGAGAGGGAGTGGGGAGAGGGATGCAGTGGCCAATGTAGAAGATGTAAAAACAAACGACATCCATAAAAATTTTGAAAAAAACATGTATAGACCCCTCTTGTCTCCAAACCACAAACCTTGTTTCCATATGAGAAAACTCCCATTAGACAAGTAACAGAAGCCTATTATTTCAGGCAAAAGATAAAAAACTTCAACTGTTTAAACAACAAAACTGTGACTATGTCAAGGAGACACTCTGATTATCCAAATGACAGAACCCCCACAGTGCCGAAGACCGAATCCGAGCACTATGTGAGTTCTCAAGATCACTTACTCTGATGTTCAAAGGACCACGGTTATTGGGTGTGTTGATTCTCAACTTGACCAGACCATCTTCTTGAGTCATAGACCGGACATCAAAGTTTGGGACCACCACCGGAATGTGAGAGGCTGGGGATCCATCTGGATTAGTCACAAAAACCTAGAAAGGTTACAGAACAGAGAATAATTGTGAATGACCCTCTGGGGTCATCTGGGCCCTCTGGGCCATCCCCTCCTCTAGTCCAAGAAAAGTAGCTCTGACTATAACTGCAGTGGAAGGCAGTGAGGCTAGACCTGAAGGAAGTACTTCCTCCCCACCCTGGGACAGGTGACCTAGGAGGGAAATGAAAAAACGTTCCCTATAGAGAAGGAGGGCCTGTGCATTCTAGTGGTCTCACCGTGAGATCAAAAGGCATGGCTGGTTTGAAGTGCTTAGGAGTCTTGGTGAAGTGAATTTGGTAAGGAGATGTCACAATAGGGATCCCAGTGTATTCAGCCTCAACCATGTCACTCCCTGCAGAGGAAAAGGAGAGGTGAGACCAGAAGGAAAGAAGGAGGGGGCCTAGAGTCCACACACACACACACACACACACACACACACACACACACACACACACACACATACACGCAATCTCCCCCTCACTCACCAGACTCCAGGATAACTGTGACTGACACATACAAGGACTTTCCCACCAGGTTTTGGCCTGGGAACTGTTTGACCAGAGCATCTCGGGTTAGAGTAACCTCTCCACTGCCATCTTCAATCTGTGTGTGGTATAGCCCAGTGAGAAATGCTCAGGCTTAATGAAGAGCAGAGAAACTCAAAAGGAGGCAGGCTTGGGCACAAGGAGGGTAAAGGGGACAGGGTGAAGAGGTGAGGGCTCCATGAAGAGAACAGAAGACCAATGAAAGGGATGCTGGTTCTGTGCGGGTATAGGTGACACTGGTTAGATCATAATTCAGAGAGGGGCATAGTATAGAGAGGATGGGGTGATCAAGGAGAATATGGGGTGCTTAGAGGAACTGGAGCCCAGAAAGGAAATCAAAACTCAACGAAGGGGTTGGCAGTTCAGTGATGGAACTGTGGCTCAGTGTGGGTGAAAGAACACAGTAAAGGGATGAGGACCTGGGTTTGGCAGATCACATACTATAACTCGGGTGAGGGATTCAGGGATGCTCCGCTTAGTTCCTTCATCCAGGACTCCGAAGATGGCAAAGGCAGTGCCATCCACCATCCTTCCATACAGGAACCTGCACAGGGAAAGGGGAAGGGTTTTGATCACTTCATCCTTCCCACTGCTTCTAGGCAGGATTCCCCATCTTCCTTCTGACTCAGAAAGTACCACCTGGTATCTGGCGGATGAACCCTGATAACCCAGAATTATCCTGAGCCCTCCCAAGATCCTCCTGTGCCCTGGTTTCCATAACTTAGCATTCACATGCTTCTCTTCCTACCTCTCTGACCATTCCTTTGTTGTCTGTTTCATTGTCTCTTCAATCCTCCTCTTGCCTATTTAACACAAGTATTCCCCAGTGCAGGGTTCCATCTGAAGTCCTCCTCTCTTCCTTGTGAAGGTTTATGTAGGTGACTCCCGAATCATTTTCTCCATTCCCGACCTCTGTCCCCTGAGCTCTGGTCCCATATTACCAACTTCTTGCAGGATATCTCTACCAGGCTGTCCCACCGACCTCAAACTCAGCATGTCTCAAACTAAACTCATCATCTTTCCCTGAACCAGCTCCTTTACCCACCTTCCTTATTTCTACGGATGGTAGCTCACCCAAGCTAGAACCTTGGGAGTCACTTTTGGCTCTTCCTCTTCCTCCTCTACCACAACCAATCATCTGTCAAGTCTTATTCTACCGCACATCTCTCACATCCCACTCCTCCTATCCCCTCCCATTGCCACCGCCCTCTTTTCATCTGGATCATAATAATTAAGGAGTCACTCTGTCTCTAGTCTCTCCCCTTCCCTTTCTTCATACCAATACCTGGGTCATCTTCTTAATGCACTGCTATGACCGTGACACTCCCCTCCTCAAATACCTCCAAGAGGGTCTGTGCTACATACAGAATAGACACCTTACACTGTGACTCAAGGCTGTTCCACAACCTGGCTCCAACCAACCTTTCCAACCCCATCACCAGCTGCTTGCTCTTCATGCACTCTAGTTCTGGACAAACCACATAGGTCCTCCTCCCAATCTTGCCTTACATTTTGTGTGGTTGAGGATTTTCCTTTCCTTCAAGGCTCATCTCAGGTACTTCCTCTTACCTAAAGCCTTCCCTGGCTCCCTTCCCCACTCTTCCCAAACTCCCTCTACAAATGTTGTCTTTCTTTTCTGGTCTCTCTTGCAACCCCTATTATAATTATTTGTTCACATGTCATATTCTCACCAGAGATCACTGAGCTCCTTCAGGACAGAAACTTTGCCATTCCACAGCCCAGAGCCTTGCACAAAGTAGGTGCTTAATCAATATTTGTCAAACTGCATTCTGCTGTGCTACATGCTGAGCACGCAGTCCTTCTCCTAGCATGGCCAACCACATCCCCCCTCCCCCAAGTCTTCTTTTGGCATACCTCATTGCCCCTTTCCCTCAATCCCTAAATCCTACATAAGCCCTTACCTGGCTGTGATAGAGACTCTCAGACCTTCATGATTGTCGATGTAGAAGAATTTTTCCTCTGGGTGCAGCTTTACCTCAAAGCTTGGCAGCACTGGATAAAGAAACCATGCTCTGAGTTGTCTGAGTCCAGGTGGAGAGACACTGGGAGCTATTCTGAAGGCTCTGGGTCTGGGAGGAGACACTGGGGCCATTCTTGGGGGTCTGGGCATAGAAGGAGGCACTGGGGATGTTCTGAGGGGTCTAGGTCTAAATGAGCATATATTGAAGTATGTTCTGAAGGCTCTGTCTGGGGGGCAGTGGGACACTGGGAGCATTATAAGGACCATAGATCCTTGGAGAAAGACATTCTGAAGGGTCTGGGTCTAAGTGGGAAGATCATGGGGGGCATTCTCAGGGGTAAGAGTCTGAGTGGAGAAATATAAGGTGATATTCTAAGAGGGCTGAGTTTGGAAGGAAGAGTCTGGGAGTCATTTTGCTGTTGTACCCAGAGACCAGGGGGCCTTTCTATCTTGCTCTGCAACAGAGCCTTCCTACCCGTATTTGTCTTCCCCTAACCCCATTAGAATGAGAGCTCCCTGAGGGCACGGACTGACTTGTTCTTCTGTTTGCATTCCCAATGATTAGTTCAGTGTTTGATACTTAGTAGGTGCTTTAAAAATGCTTATTTTCATTCATTCATTCTGAAAGATCCAAGTCTGAGATAGGGGAGATTGGGGAAAATTCTTAGGGGTCATGGGATGCACTGAAGGAGACCCTCTGAAAGGTCTGTGTCAGGGATAAGACAATGAGAAGGGGGTGGAATTCTGAAGGATTTAAGACCAGGGAGAAATGGGGGCTGGGGGTGAACATTGGGGAAGATTTGAGAGACCTGAGGAAAAAGACAGTGAAGGGGATGCTTTAAGAAGTCTGGTCTGGGGAGCTGGGAGGCAATAGGAAGGCATTCTGACTGGTCTTAACCTGATAGGAATACTGAGGGTTAAAACTGGGGGACATCCAGAAGGACCTGAGGAACTTTCCTGGGGGACACTGAAGGGGAGGCGTACTGGTGGGAAATCATATCTCCATCTTTAACACCCCCACCCTCCTTACCATACTCCTTCACTTCAAAGTCAGCAGAGAAGTTTTTATGGGGAGAGTCATCATAATAAGTGATGATTTTCCACTGGCCCAGGCTGGAAAGGGGAAGGAGACAGAGATAAGACTGAGAGCAGCCTGGCCTGGGAGGTGAGGGTGGTCTGCCGTAGGGGGCCCCCACTGTTGGAAGATGATCTTAGGGTCTGGAGGGGACTTCAGAAATCTAGTACAAACTCCTTCATTTTAATATGAAGGAACAGAGGCCTAGACAGATCTAGTGACTTCTCCAAAGTCACAAAGCAAGTTAGTAGCATAGTCAGGACTCCAACCTAGATGCCCTGAGTCTGTGTCCAGGATTTTTTTAATCCCTCTCCCCGCCCCCCCCCCCCAAACTGAAGCATCTCAGGAGTAGGTCGGGTGGAAATGGAACAGACCCAAATCAGGGCCCAGAGAGATTCACCAGGACAAAAGGTACCCATGTCCCCCTAAAAGGCTTCCCTCTGGGGCTTGTCCCCCAAGAAAGGAACACACACACACACACACACACACACACACACACACACACACACTCAAAGAGCTGAGTTCAAGCAAGGATGAAGGTTGAGAGTGTAAATTGGGCCCCCAGCACACACATACCACCCGCAGGACTTGGGTCAGGTCACCTACCTGACAAGTTCAGGAATACTCCAGGACAAGCTCAGTATGCCATTGCTGTTCTGAGAGGACCGTGAGTCCTTCTTGATGATGATACCATCAGGAGTCTGTGGGCAAAGAGTTTAGGTTAAGAGGGGATCCAGCTGACCCCTTCAGCCCTGAGCTCCAGACCCCCTCTCCACCTAGGTGTGAATAAGTCTGTGTGTGCCCATGTGTCTGTGGCTGTCCAAGAACTGTGGCAGGGATGTCTTATGGGTGTGTATATATACACATATATGTGTGTATACATATATACATGTATGTGTATCTGTGTCTATGTGTGCCTGGGTGTGTCCATGAAGGGCTGTGTTTGCATATGTGTGCCTCTGTATACATACATACATACGCACATGTCTATGTCTATGTCTATGTGTGCCTGGGTGCCCATGAAGGGCTGTGTTTGTGTACGTGTGTGTGTGTGTGTGTGTGTGTGTGTGTATGTGTCCTGGGCCCCATTACCTCGATGTTGACAGTCAGAGTTTTGGCCAGAGGCTGAAGCTTGTGGCCCACGGTGAAAATCCGGTACAGAACTGGGAAGGGGAAGGGAAGAGAGCCTCATGAGCCTGGCTGTCTGTGGTCTGTCTGTTTTCCCCTCCCCACCTCCCTTCCACCCCTACCACATACCAGCATCACCTGTCTGGGAGCCCACAGCCAGAGCCTGAGCTCTAGCTCAGGTGTTCCCACCTGAGCCTAACTAGGTGGGAGCTCACCTGTGGAACCAGGTGTGTAGATGGTTTTGTCTGTCTGAATAAATAGGTAGCCACTGTGAAGAGTCACCAGCACCACTTTCTCTAGTTTTTCCTGGGCAAACTTGGCCACAATACTGACGAACTTGTGATCTTTCTTATTCTGGAAGTTCTGGGCTGGGATCTGGAAGGGAGTGGGGTTGGGGCAGTAGCCCTTAGTGATCCATCCACCAGCCTGCATACCCTCTTCCCTAGTTTCATCCCCCAACCCCCACCCCTCCACCCCCCCATCCCTCCCACCTCCACCCCAGGACACTCTCTGAGCTCAGCTCAAGCTCTTTCTCCTCCAGGAGAAAGCTGAAAAAGCATGAGCCCTCTCCTCCCTGATTCTTGAAATTTGCAGGGATATCAGCCTCCCTTCTGGATCTGGGAAGGAACTCCAGGCCACAGATCTTTCCTGAGATCTCCTGAGTTCGTAGCCCCAGGCTCAACCATACTGGGGGGGGGCCTGGAAAGGAGCAGATCCATCTCTGCTTGGGTGTCTGCTGGGGAGAGGTTCAGATCACCAGAGTTGTGGGAAGCCCATGGGGCAGAAATAAATTATTATGGCTGAGATGAGTATTAACGATTGTCATTAATAATCATTAATATAAGTATGATTATAGCTCTTTTCTATAGGACTTTAGAATTTACAGCACAATGTGTCTATTGAACTGAACTGAATTTACAGGGCATTTTCCCTGACAACATCTCTATGTAATATAGATAGAACAAGTATCATTAACCATAGGACTGTAAGTCTAGAGATGGAGATGACCTTAGAAGTCATCTAGTGTAACCTATTACAGATAGAGAAACTGAGGTCCAAATAGGTGAAAGTGTTTTGCCCTTATGTCTCCTGAGGCCAAGCTGAAAAAGCATAAGCCCTCTTCTAGATAACAAGCCCTTGAAGACAGTCATTTTTTACACCCTGTCTTTTCTTCTCTAGGCTAAAAAAATCTCCAGTTCCTGGGCATCAGTGGATGTGGCCTGAGTACCAGGCTCTTCTTCATTGCCCTGAATGCCTTCCTCGGGATACTTTCCAGATTGAATATTGACTCTGAATGACACAGTCAGAAATCAAGAAGATCTCGACTGGCACAAACACTGGGCTAACTCTAATTAGATGAAGTCTAACAGGAATAAATGTAAAGTCTTAGATAGATATTGTGCTATAGACAGCAGAGAAAAGTCAGGAAGGTCTAGATTCAAATTCTGTCTCTGAGACATATTAGCTGTGTGACTTGGGGCAAATCCAGGTGTGTGCTGAAGCCAGCTCCTAGTATTTATACCTTGTGTTTCAGGGCTTGGTTTATTGGATTTTGTTTTGTTTTTCTTTTGGTTGTCAGAACTTAAGAAAGTGGGGGCAGCTAAGTGGTTCAGTGGATAGAGCACCAGGCCTGAGGTTAGGAAGACTCATCTTCCTGAGTTCAAATCCAGCTTCAGACACTTACTTAACTGTGTGACCCTGGGCAAGTCACTCAACCCTATTTGCCTCAGTTTCTTGCCTCATCTGTAAAATGGGCTGGAGAAGGAAATGGCAAACCACTCCAGTATCTTTGCCAAGAAAACCCCAAATGGAGTCACAAAGAGTCAGATGTGACTGAAATGACTCAACGACGCAAAAACTTAAAAGTGATGGAGAATATATTAATAATTCAGATTAAACTTAGAAGTGTGTCCTACTTATATTTCGGGGGATTGTCAAACACTTACCTCCAAGTCCCTTAACCTCTTCATAACTTTTGGCAAATCTTTAATTCTCTAAATTTCTTTTAAAATTAAATATAATTTAAAATTCTTTAAAACTCTTTAAGTTACAAGTGAGTAGAAGGAACAAGCTGATAGAGGAAGTTTTCTCACCTAAGTTGCCCATACTGAAGAAACCACCCATCTACACCAGGGGTGGGGAACCTGAGGCCTCATGGCCTCACGTGGCCCTCTAGGTCCTCAAGTGAGGCTTCTGACCAAATCCGAACCTCACAGAACAAAGTTTGGATTCAGTCAAAGGGATGCACTTGAGGACCCAGAGAACTACATATGGCCTTGAGGCCACAGGTTCCGAACCCCTGGTCTAGACCAATTAAATTCAAATGTAGAGTCTTCCACTTGCACAGGGTAACCGAGTTTGCCCGGAAAAATCTGGGAGCTTTAGTGGACCGAAAGCAAAGTCTGAGTAAACAGTGTGATTATGGCAGCTAGAAAAGTAACCTTTGGCTGTACTGAGAAGTTGAGTGTCCAAGATCAGGGAGGGGTCTGCCCTGCTCTCCTCTGCCCTGGTTAGAGACCACATGTGGCATATTGTATTTAAGTTCTGAGCCCCACGTTTTAGAAAGACTTTAAGAAGCTGGAGAACATTCAGAAAAAGGCAAACAGGATAATGAAAACTGTTGTTCAGTTGTTTCAGTCATGTCTGACTCTGTCCACTGAACCACCTAGCTATCCCACTTTCTTAAGTCCTGACAACCAAAAAAACCCCCCAATAAACCAAGCCCCAAAACCCAAGGTATAAATACTCAGAGCTGGTTTAGGGTGAAGTGACTTGCCTAGGGTCACAAAGCTAGTTAAGTGTCCGGGGCCAGATTTGAACTGAGGAAGCTGGGTCTTCAGCCTCCAGGCCTGGCCCTCTATCCCAAAATATTGGGCTTCCTTGGCAGGAGGTGGGCTCCCCCTCACTGGAGATCTAAGACAAGGCTCTGAATGAATGACCATTTGTCAGCTGGGGTGGAGAAGGGACTCTGGTTCAGGTAGAGGGAGGAGGCCCCTTCCATCTCTGAGATCTTTTGGAGAGAAACTGCTTGCTAGCCATGCCTCTTTCATGCTGAACTGGGGGTTTTTGTTTGTTTTGTTTTTTTTAACCCAAGCGCAAGACTTCACATTTATTCCTAATAAATTTCCTTTCCGTTGGACTCGGTCCAATAATCCAGCCTGCCAAGAGATCTTCAGAGCCTAAGTGCCATCCAATGTATTAGCTGTCCCTCTTAGCTTTGTGGCATCTGCAGACTGGATGAGCTTGGCATCGCTGGCTTAAAGGCATTCTGACTGGGGTTGAAAAGCACTGGGAGTCCGGGGGGAGAGAATGGTATAGCAGAAACAGTAGCTGAACTTTATATCAAAAGTTTAGACTAAAGTTTCATCTCTGACCCCTTAATACCTGCATGCACTTGAGCAGAGCATTCTTTGGCCTCAGTTTCCTCATCTGTAAAACTGCTTAGTATTGCACTTTAAGGTTTGCAAAGCCTTTTTGCATGGTATCTCACTGGAACTCACAACAGCCTCACGAGGCTGGTATTAATATTATTTCCATTTTACAGGTGAAGAAACTGAGATGAAGTGCCTTGCCCAGTGATCACACAGCAGTCAGGTCTTCCTGACTGCAAGTCCAGGACTCTATCCACTATAACACCTAGCTGCCCTGTAAGGAGGGGCTTGGCCTAGATGATCTGTAAGACCCCTTCTAACTTGGAAATTTTATCATTCTGATAGTGGGTGATGTCTGGGGCAGTCAGAGCAGACTTTATATAGACTTCATATACAGGAATAAGATAGCTGGACAGACTGACCAGAGGGTCAAGATTGCTCATAGGGAGCCCCATACCCACCTTAATAGTGATGGTGCTCAGGTAATTATTGGCATTGTTAAGTGTGGTCTTCTCCAAATAAAGGACTTGCTTCTTTTGAGGGAAGTCGTGGATGGAGACCTCAACAGGCACGTCACCTGCCGCCCCATGGGCCTCCAGGACCAGCTGCTCCTCACTTTCCAGTCTCAAGACATTGGGAGTGAGCAGGATGTAGCTGATGGGGGTTGGGTAGGTGAAAGAAGAAGTCACTGCTAGTCCTAGACAGCCAGCACCCACTGGGCCCCTACCCCTTCAGAGCTGAGGCAGTCCCACCCAAGAAGGCAGTAGCTGAAAGCTCTCCTACAGAAAGCTGCGGAGACCTCATTAACATTTGGCTCTAAGATCTATGTTCTTGGTACTACTCTGCTCTGTCCTCTGTCCCTGGGATCCTGGTACAGTCGGATGCCACCCTCTCAGCCCCTTCCTCTTCCCCAGAGCCAGCTGCACCAAAACCTGATTCTACCCATATTCCATATCCAAGACTATCTAGATTCCTTAGCTGGCAACTGAGCTTGGCCAGAAATGTCACCCAGATCTCTTTACTTCTTTCTGACCCAGGGCAAATAATACCTGGATCCCACAGGTATCCCCCCAACTCCTACAGATATAACCTGCATCCTATGGATATCCCCAAATCCCATAGACATCTGGGTCCCACAGATGTCTCCTGGACCCTCCAACTGTCTCTAGAATTCTAGGCTCAGTCATCATGTCCATGGTTGCCCAAATTCCATAGATGTTACATGTCTTCCATCCTTTAAGGCCCAGGAATTCTTAACCTGGATTCCCTGAACTTATTTTTTAAAGTATCTTGACAACTACATTGCAATATAATTGGTTTTCTTTATAATCCAATGTATTTAATCTTTGCACTTAAAAACATTATTCTGAGAAGGGATCTATAGGCTTCACGTTAATTCCAAATGAGTCCATGACAAAAAAGGTAAAGAACCTCTAATCTAAGGATGGGGAGCCTGTGGCCCTCTAGGTCCTCAAATGCAACCCTTTGACTGAATCCAAATTCCACAGAACAATGAAGTTTGGATTCAGTCAAAGGGCAGGCACTGGAGGACTTAGAGGGTCGAATGTGGCCTTCAGGTTGCCGGTTCCCCACTCCAATAGCATTCCTCAATTTCACAACTATCTCTCAGGTTCCCTAGGGCCACCCCAGGGGAGGAAATTGGGAGGAGGGTTCCCCACTACTTACAATGGATCCCCTTGAGCCAGGGTCACCCAGCTCAGAGCCAGCAGGACAGCTAGTGGTCCCATGGCTCTGGACTGGAATCGAGAAAGCAGGACAGACAGGATAAGCTGGGGAAGAGGGAGAGGGGAAAGCATGAGCAGAACCCTGGAGGTGGCTTCTTATCCTGGGGCTCAGAGACTGCCCCCCCAAGCCCTCCCCTGGCAGGGGCGGGCCTGGAGATTTCTCAATCTGGGATAGTCCCGGTCGAACCAAGGGGAGGGCCGGAACTCTTTGTTTCCTTCTTCATTTGTCTGGGTTTTAACTCTTCTGAGGGGTTCAAGGGCCCTGCGTGGAGGGCAGGGTTTGAACTGGCCTGAACATCTGCCTTAATAATCCCATACATCTGTCTTAATATCCCTACACATCTACATTAATGAGCCCACACAAGTGTGTTAAGAAGTCTACAAGTCTGTATTAATACATCCATCTGACTCTATTAGTAGGCCTATTTTACAGATCAGAAAAGGAACAGCCAAGGAAAGGAAGGAAATTACTGGCCCAGTAGCACAGAGTCAGTTAAATCTGGACCTAGGACAGCACTGCTAACCCAGCTTTTCCCCACTGTATATTCCCAGTGGCCTTGCTGCAGTGGAATGAGGCCAGACACAAGCCTGAGAACCCCATTCACGTCAGGGCTTTGACTCTTACTACTGCACTTAGCCTTGGTTAAGTCACAGCCATCTTGGGCCTTCATTTACCCCTCCTCTAAAGTAAGGAGACTTTAAAATTAGGAATTTAGATAAAATGATCCCTAAGGATCCTTCAGGTTGTAACCTCAAGAATACTTACTTAGGGCGTGGCTGGGATTCTGAATCATAATCTAATTCTAGGTTAAAAGAGGCAGCAAAAAAGTGCTGCTGGTGCCACACCACCTTCTCTACAGCTTCATTTCCTTGTTGACTTTCCTGCTTGGTCTCCTCTCTCTGGAGCCCCCCCCCACCCGCAATCAGGGTTAAGTGACTTGCCCAGGGTCACACAGCCAGTAGGTGCCTGAGGCTGAATTTGAACTTACATCCTCCTGACTCCAGGGCCGGTGCTCTATCCACTGCACTACCTAGTCATTTACCTCTACCCAATCACCAGCAAAAATTCTCTTCAAGGCCCCTGGAATGGAAAAAAATATTGTAAGGGAGAAGAGAAGGAAGAGGGTCCCTGGCATGCCGGACACATGTCAGCCTTCTGAGATTCCATGCCCTGGAGTCACCTAGAGCCGATGACTCTATTCCCTGTGGCTACGTTAAGATGCTGGGACAGATGCCTTGTGTCCCCAAGTCTCCCTCCACAACCCCAGGTCTTGTTTTCACTTGGGATGGAGATGGGGGGCTGGGAGATAGGGGGAAGCCTTGCTTGCAGTTCATGGTAACTTGTTTCCTTCAAGGCTCAACTCAAATGGTTTCCACCCAAGTCCTATCCTGAGCCTCCCAGCTCAGAGATAAATAAATGCACATTTTGCATTTATGTATCTGTTTACATGTTGTTCTCTACTCACCCCCTATCCCACAAGTGTAAGCTCCCTGAGGTCAGGGACTGTATAGTTTTTGTATCCTGGGCGACTAGCCTAGTGCTTGCCTCATAGAAGATGCTTAATACATGGCTGTTGAATGGAATAGCATGGAATTAATTGGAGCACGCAGCAGCTCCTCCCTCCCCAATATTTCCATCCTCATTGCACCTGTTTGGTACAAACTTCTTCAACCCTTGGAGCAGGTAGTGGGCAATACGTAATGCTCAGACAGAGTAATTCATTTCCCCGGGGCCACACAGCAACCACCCAGGTGGGTCCCAGTTCCCAGAACCAAAAACCCCAGCCCTGCCCCCTATGCACCACTCACCATCCCAACCCCCCTGCCCCCCTTTTCCAGGGAAATTCTGGCTTAGTTTCCCGGTAGGCCCCACCCCTTTCTTGGCACTGATTCAGGCTGGCAGCAGAATGGCAAGATTAGGAGAAAACAGGTCTGACCTCCAGCTCCCCTCTCCAGGTATTGCAACATGGTGCCTTTCAGGGGAAAGCGAACTCAGAGCTCCAGCTGACCATTAGAGCCGGGGGTGGGGGGCACTTAGAGATCATTTAGCATATTGGAAAACTGGGACCCAGAGCGATGAAGGCACTTGCTTGAAGTCCTTTGGCAAATCAGATCTGATTCCTAAGCCCAGGGTTCCTTGTATCACCAGGAACACTCTCGCGACCTTCAAGAATTCGGGGAGAGGGGTGAGGGAATGAGGGAGGAGAGTTTACTCTGGGGAAGAGAAACAGCAGGGAAAAAAAACCAACTCCCAAAGAGCCCCTCCTCCATTCTTCCTTTGTCTTCTCTGGGTTTCAATCCCTCCATGGCTAATCCTACTGCCCCTGAGCTATGGCTGCCATGAGTGTGACAGTTATAAATTGGGACGCCAGAAAATTCAATGTGGAGGAACCATGCAGTCGCTGGCTATGGTTCCAACCTTAAACTGGTAGAGAGAATTTACACCCCACTCATTTTATAGATTGGATAAACTGAAGCCAAGAGACAGGAAGGGATTTGCCCAAAATCACATAGGAAATGCTGAGATTTGAACTTATGTTTTCTGATTGTCCCTGGGGTCCTTGGCTACTCACTGGTAGGACTAGAATCAGAATCAGGAAGAGAGGGATGAAGGTCAGACTTTTGCAGGGATTTTCCAATATTAGGAATTAATGAATAGGAGGAAAGGGTCTTGGGGAAGGGGAGGGGGGGGGACAACTGAAAGACCTCATGCCCAAGGGCAGGAATGGACCAGTGAGGGACCAAAGCAGGAGCCAGGGAGGCAAGGTGCAGGGTTCAGTCTCGAGGACACTGTACAAGAGTCCATCTGAGGTCTTCGACCCCTCTACCACATGGACACATTCCTGTCAATAAGCAAATGCCATCCTCTGGAAAGTAGTGGGAAAGGCCAACCTGTAGATAATTCAGGCTGGTTCAATGTGTACTGTCCCCACCTGCGTATGGGAAAATAATGCCAACACTTGCCCATGGGGGCTCCCTCTTGCAACACTCATCTCCTCCGAGCTTGATCAGATTTCAGTTCATCTTAACTCGGCCTTCCTCCACTCTTCCCCACTCACTTCTCAATTCCCAATTGCTGGGGCTCTGGGCCAACCTAAATGGTGCTTATCTCTTTGGATCCAGCCTGCCCCAGCTCTGTGGAGCCTCCCCTAGAGTAGGCTCCACCCTTCACCTCCCAGAGGAGAGGAAGACACTGGCAGTGGGGGCATGTGAAGTTTGGGAAAACCTAGAACATAGGCATCCAAATGCTGGAGGAACCTAGGAATGTATAGTGGAAAGGCAAGGGGAACAGATATCTATCTATCTATCTATCTATCTATCTATCTATCTATCTATCTATCTATCTATCTATCTATATCTATATCTATATCTATATCTATATATATTTTAGCACCTACTATTTACCAAGCGCTTGCCAAATATTATATGTCATTTTGTCCTCACAACAGTCTTAGAAAGTAAGCGCTATTGTGATCCCCATTTTATAGCTGAGGAAACTCAAGGCACACAGAGATTAAGTGACTTGCCCAGAGTCACATAGCTTCAGGCCCAGTGCTCTGTCTGCTGCACCACCTAGCTGTCATGTAGTCCCACCTTCCTCTCCTAACCCCTCATTTTACAAAGGAAGAAACTGAGACTCAGAGAGAGGAATGACCTCATCCAAGTCATTCAGGGAGTGACAGAACCCAACAATCTTGGAATTTGAAGGTGCTATCTTGGTTCAACCCATACTGAAGCCAGAATTCACTTTGTAGCACACCTGATACCCAGTCTCCGATTCTAGGTGCCGTTCATTCTACCTCACTATAGCTCTGATTGTTAGGAATTTTTTTCTTACACCAGAGCCAGATTTTAATTTCAAATCCAGAAATGTGGCCACTATCTCCAAATGTTGGCTCTTCTTGTCTCCTGTGGAAAGGGAAGAGGAGAAAGAGGGAGCCTTGCTCGGGGTGAGCTCTTCCTCCCCACATCCATATTGTTCATCCAGGAAGGCATATCCCCAGAACCAACCAGACTCCTCCAATTAGTTCTCCAGCATCTATAAGCACACTAAAGGCCACATGGATCTTCTCCACCCTAGCTCCCTGAACTTCGATTATTCATTAACTCCCTAATGTCCTTGACCCAGTCATAAAGCTCACAGCTTTAGTGAAAAGGGTTCCCACTTTATCCTTCTCCCACCTGGTGTGCCAGCTCCTCAATCCCTGTTGTTAGGAAAAGCCCAAGCCCAGATAACTGCATTCCTAAAAATCCCATTCCCACCAGCAGAGAGATGGAAATTAGAGTGAAGAAGTAAGAACTGACCCAGCCACTAATCCAGTACCATTATCCCACAGCACCCTTCTTTTGTACCAAAGATGAAAGCAAGGAGTTTGAAGGGCCAGGAATAAACCTATCCAAGGACCATGGTTTGGGGGCAGATGCTATAGGGACAGAGCATCCAGGTTCCATCATGGCTCTTGACTCTCTGATCTTAGGCAAGTCCCTTTCCTACCTGTGGGGTACCTGAAGCCCCAGGTGGGGCAGTGAATAGAACACTGGGCCTGGAATCAAGAAGACCCGAATTTAAATTGGGCCTCAGTCACTTATTAGCTGGGTGATCTTGGGCAAGTCACTTTACCTCAGTTTCCTCAACTGTAAAATGGAGATCATAATAGCACCTACCTCCCAGGGTTGTGGTGAGGGTAAAATGCCGTGTTATCTGTAAAAAGCTTAGCACAGTATCTCTCACATAGTAGGAGCTACATAAATCTAGCTATTATTATTATCACCTTATTTATCCTTTCCCTCTTTCCCCCACTCCTCCCAAACTCTACCCCTGGGTTCAGATCAACCTGTGATTCATCTTCCATTGCAAAACAGCTCTGGAGCTCCCACTCTCTCCTGAAGTCCTAACCAGATTAAAATGCAATTGGGAAATATTTAACAAAACAAATAAAAATACAATAAAAATTGATAAAAAATTTTGGGCAGCTAGGTGGCACAATGGAGTCCAGAAGATCTGAGTTCAAATCCAGCCTCAGACACTTACTTACTAGCTGTGTGACCCTGGGCAAGTCACTCAACCCTGTTTGCCT